TCAGTTTAATGTACGATCGTTTTTTAGCCGATATTTTTTACAACTCTGAGTTGTCTGACGTTTCCTTTGCAGGGATTCTAAACTAAATCCTTACAGATGACACTTCCTGATGGTCCAACCACGATCGTACCACCTTGTGGCCCTAGCGATCTTTAAAATTGCATTTCAAGTATAAATTTAAGATTGTGATTATTTCTGATTTTCGATCCATATAAACTAGAACCCTTTTAAATTGAATTATGTTTACAAATAATAAAAAAAAAAAATGTTATAAATTTTTAAATTTTAGTAAAAATTTGATGTTATTTATTATATAAATATTACGTACAAAATAAGAATTTTTAATTTGCTATTCCTTTTTTACGAAAACAAATTTTTATTGCGGAATTGATCATTTTTTCGAATTAATATTGATATTCCACTTTTTTATAATTTTATTCACTCACTTTATTTGCGCCATTTAAAAACAATACGTCAAACACTGCATAAAAGAAACTACTACTAAAAAAAACCCATAGAAAGTTAATATCCGAATCGTGAATTTGATATTGTTTGGTATTGTTTTGTACGATGACAGATCCGTGATTAAATTATTTCGTGACTGATTCACAGCGTGTTGTATTCATAAAAAGAAATTTGTTTATCGCAAATCCTAAAACGTTTACTTCAATCTGAATGAAATAATATTAAAGATAAGATGAACATGTTGAAATGTTTTAGATATACAATGAAACTATAATAACAGATAATTGAATTATTTGATTATACATACAGGGTGTTTCTAATTCATGCGACAACATTCAGGAGGTGATTGCTCGTATGAAATTAAGATGGGTCTTTCCTATAACAAAATTTCCTTAGCCCACCCCTTTCCGAGATATCACCCTTAAAAAGTGGTGACTAAAATTGAGCTTTTATTTTTTTTTTCTAAAAATATATTTTACCCGCCGGCTAAAAAAGAAAAAGTGCTAGATTTTGCTTCGAGTGTACTAGAGTACCAGATTCTTAAATAATGTACTAGATCTAGTTACAATTGTACTAAACTGGCAACACCGGATTGCAGTGCATATACTTTTAGAGGTTTCCATTTATTTGTTTGATTATAAAAGCGGGCAATTTCAAATATGTTATTACGAGATTAAGATATATGTCACAAATGTCAGATTCCTCTCGACCATAAGCACTCGTAATCGCAAGCAATTGCGTATTAGGCTATAGCTAAAACATACGCTATACGCTGATGATAACTAACCCTTAACGTGGCGTTTGATGAACGAAGATATCCCCAAACTTGCTGCATGTAAACATTTTACAAGTCTTCACATTGTTTGATAATCGTATTTTTTTTATATATTTTATAATTGAACAAGCACTAGTACGTTTGTATTACTTTATTGTTACGGTAAAACTCCAAAAAAAAACAAACTTAACAAATCAATAAAATATAAATAAGTTTATAATAAAAAAAATAAAACAAATCTAAAAAATATTCGTGTTCTGAACCTGAGGTAATGGAATCGATATTACGAAAAGTTTTTTACCTTTTTAAAATAATTATATCGGCAAAAAATTGCTAAATTAAAAGAAACAAATAATATCCAACGTGCAATAATCTAATCCAAATAATGATAATAACTAAGTGTTTGTGTATTTTTAGCTATACGATATTATATAGTGTGCCTAATATTGCAAATAATTACCTATATATTTTTTCAAACATATTATTAGGAATAATGAACGGGTTTACCAGTTTTTTTTTAATCTGTCAAGCCTTTGACCAATTTTAAAAATTATGAAAACCAAAAAATAGCTGAAAATAATACTTAATCCAGTTGATTGATACAGGGTTGGGCAAAATGGGGGTACAATAGTTTTCGGTTTTATTGAACAACTAACAAAAATTTCTCGGATCGAACATAATGTGCAACAGATTCTTAAGTTATTCATTCAAAATGAACCATGTAGAAGTGCCAAAAACTTAGGCATTATCTATGACTACAAACTAAGGTTTCAGGAGTGTGTTTCGCTTCTAGTCAAAAAATCGTTTCTGGTTATTCGTTAGTTATACAGGAATTGAGGTATTTTGAGTTTCAAATTACGTAAGTTGCTCTGTGAAAGTCTTGTATTGTCCATCTTAAACTATGGTCTTTTAATTTACTATCATTGTTTGGATCAAATAACCAAATACAGACTTCAAAAGATTCAAAACTCTTATTGTTGTTTTGTATTTGGTATCAGAAAGTATGATAGAATATCTAATTAAATTAAAGAACTTAGGACTCAATATAGGAAATTTATTTAAATATCAGATTGAGGCGAGGCTACGGTATTTCGAATTTTTTCAACCTCAACCATATATCGGAAAGATCTGCACAGTTTACATTTGAGATATCCTAATAACAACGATTCCGAGTTACCGATTATCATTTTTCAAAAGATCTTTCACATATAACGCCGTTTCAATATATAACAGTCTACCTAGGGAAATTAGGACACGTTATCTGACATTTTTAAAACAAAATTATAAAACGTTGCTATTAGTTGAGCAATGAATACAGTGCTAACGTTAATATGTTATTATTTTCAAATATTTTTCCTTATTTAATTGTATTTTAAGTTCCATACATTTTTCTTGTTTTACATTTTAAAAATAACGGATTTTAGGATCTAAATTGATTTCAGTTTAGATTAAATACAGGGTTAACATTATTTAATCATAAATTAATTGTATATTAAATTTATTTTTTTTATATTGTAAATGATGGATACCTTTTGATTATTTTAAGTTTATATTTATGTTGAGGTTAAGTTGTGCAGGGCAAGCTAGACTTCGCCTCATGATGTTTATGTGCATTGTATATTACAAGCAAATAAAAGCATTTTATTATTATTATTTTATTTTTTAGATGTGTATACGAGGTGTAGTTAGTGCAATAAAGTCGTTTATTGCTTTTGGTAGCATACGTCATTACCTGAACGGCGGATATTACTTTTAGAACTTTACTGAAAGCTTCCATATTACGATTTCAAAATAATAGACAGTGGAAAAATTTCAGGAATGTGTAGTGGAATGCTGACATCTGTCATTTCCAGTAGCGGACAATTTTAATGTTTTACAGGTATATGATAAATATGCATTTTAATTTATACAAAAATTATACAGGGTGCTAGTATATTTGACCGACAACGCTCTACTCAAGAGAGTTCTCGTTAATTGATGAATTTCAATATAGGAACATTGACCCTTAAAGAGCTTAGTTGAGGGCTGCCTGAATGAATGACAAATCGTACTGAAAAACATTTTAAAACGTACTATATTTCAAAAAAACGTACTGAATAACCAACTTTTAAAAAAAACCGATATTTTATGAAAATGCACCAACACCTAAATAGAACAACACATTAAAAATGGCTGGAGCTTTAAATTTATTAATTATTAAACAACTTTTATAGAAAAATTTGAAACATTTACAAAAAATTTACCCTATGGGAACAAATGGGCTGGGCACAAGTGAAATAAAAATGATTTTCTTGTGGTTTAACACTTAAAAAAGTCTTAATCCATTTTACTTTCAGAATTACAATCAACAAACGTGGTATAAATTTGAATTATTTGTTCATCACATGACTTAACTGTCAACTGTCATCCATCATTGATAAAATACGTCTCTTTATTCAAAAAATGTCCAAATAGTACTGAAAATGGTACTGAATTGACTATTCTATTGATAAAATACGTCACTTTATTGTAAAAATGTCCATATAGTACTGAAAATCGCACCTATACCCAAGATCATCTCTGCAAGATTCAAACCCAATTACCGCTTTAAAAGAATGACGTAAGCGTGTATCTGACTACCACGGGACGAAAGCAGAGGTGAGAAGAACTGGGACAATCAGTTATTTTGGAACTTTCTAAATACTTTTGAGGGTATTTAAACTTTAAAATACGTGGCCACAGAGCGGGAAAAGGGGGATACTACCTATGATGATAACGAACAAGGAGTTTCATATAATTGAGATCGAACTTCACTTAAGGTAAGTTCGTTTGATCTATCAATTATTTTTACGGCACTGGAACAAACTTTTTTTTATATAAATTCTCTGTTCATTTTTAGTTAATAAAGTAGGAACCTTTTATGGAGCTAAGATGAACGGCATTGCAGAAATTTGCTTCTTAACAAAAATCTGCATGTACTTAGATAATTTGTAACGACTGAATATTTCTAAATTCTAATCTAGTAAGCACGTGTCAAATTTTTGTGTATTTGACAAGAGTTTGATAGATCAAACGTTTTTGATTTATGGCAAATTTTTAATTTTAATTTCAAACTTAACACCCTGCATCAGGGTAACTAAGCTATTTAAAAGTTCCTATATCAATATTCACCAATTAACAAAAGCTCTCTGAGCTATAACATTGTTTATCTACTAACACCCTGTATAAACATTTTTTTATATTATATGTATAACTGAAAATAAAGTATTTCTAAATATTTTTATAAAAAAAAGGACAGAACATTTTATTTTTGTTACTTTCCCAAGAAAGTCAGAAATCGTATTTCACTCATTTTTTCCAATCCTGTATATTATTATCACTAAAACAATAACAGATCTTTTATAAAAACTTGATTAACAGTTTTTGTTCTTTTTTTTTAGCAGAAACATCAATTTTAAAGAATTTTAACTTGTTTGCTTTATATGACGGGCATACTCGTCAAGAAGTAAGGCGATATTTTGTTTTATGACGAGTATACTCGACAAGCGTAAAAAAAATATTACTAATTCGTTTTTTCACTAAAATTGAATATAATAGCTGTGTATGATAAAGGTATTTGGACAATGAAATGAAAATATCAAAAATATAAAAAAATATGATGAAAATAAGGCAACACAGTTAATAATAGGTTTATTTGGATAGTTGTTTTTTTTTAATGCCTAATTTACTGGTACCCGTTCAAAATCCCTTTACTTGCAATTTACGAGTAGATTATAATGAAAAAAAATCTCTACCTATTATAATCACTATTGCTGAAACTTACTTTTTCGAGATCAACCATTAAAGTAAACTTAAATTTATTTCCAATCACAACTATAAAAATTTTAAAAATCCGAAAAAATTCAAAAAAATTACTATTTTTTTTTAGATATATCCAATAATCGAAAACAAAAAAAAAAAATCATAAGCTATACAAACATAAAAACGGAACCCATCAACATTTTTTAGATTTGTTAATAAGATTCCCATATTTTCTGGTACTATTTTTTTTTTCATGTGGGTGCTTATATAAAAATATATACAACACTATGTCACACGTTATTTACACTTGAACCGTCAATGAGAATGTTCGAAAATGCCACCAAAAAAACGACAATGTACTTGTCTCTCTTTCAACCATAGAGTCGCATGTAGAGCAACATAATTCCCCAGAAGCACGAAGTTATTCCAATCACCAAGGGTAGATGTTTCAGCCAAGAATTGACTAAATACATACATAGAAATCATTACCACCCAACTGGGAGTGCTAATATACATTGTAGCCATTTTAAAATCGGCGTCAGTCATTTTCGGTAAACATTTTCTTCCGTACCTAAATAAACTTCTACAACTAAAACCTGTTACAATTATTGTCTTTCAAGGTCTAACTATAAGATGTTTCAACTCTTAAAAAAAATAGACTAAAATTGATCAGAGTACGAGTAATAATCCTCCAGGTTTGCTAGAATATTTACGGCAAAAAATGGTGTTTCATTTTTAACTTGTAAGAAGTCCAATCATGTAAACCATAGTTTATTTTAGCTTTTATCAAGTGACAAATATAACTTGAGCTTAATATACACGGTATGTCCCCGGATGGACTAAAAAACAGGAAAAATTTTTTTATTTTCATTTCGAAAAAATGCATAAAAGTTTTTGCTTGTTTCAAAATTAATAATAACCCAAACAGTAGTTGAATATCTCTTTGCTTTAGTGAAATAATGACAAAATTGACATTACTGTTTTTTAAAGAATTTTGAGTTTCGTAGGTAAGTACCTCCAATTAAAGAAATCTTCCTTACATTTTGTTACAAATCGGCAAATATATACGATTCTAGATTATCAATTATTAATATATGTCAGTGACGGCTCGTGGGTTTGAAAATAAAACACAAAAAAAAATCGACTTTTTTTAATTTTTTTTGTACATCCTATCCTTTAAACTTGCAAAATCATCTATTATATCATCAAAAAATGGCTCTGATCGTACAAGTTCATTTAAGAGTGTCTTTTCAATTGAAATTTTTGCTAAATTGGTAAGTCGATCTTCTGTTATTGTATTTCGTAGATATGTTTTAATTCGTTTTAAACAAGAAAAACTATGTTCGACTGAAATACTAGTGGATGGAATAGTTAAGATTAAGCAATATACTTTATAAGCTTCTTTAAAAATATCATGATTCTCAAATAGTTTTTCCAATATTTATAAAGTTTTCATTACTGTAAATAAACTGTAACTCATTGTTTAACCTTTGTAAGTCATTAAATTTACAAGGACACATTTGAACTAAATTATTTAGTGCTTCTGTAGGAGAACTCTCCGAATATACAGAAAATTTGGAAGTGTCCATTAATGTTACGAACTGAAGCTTATCACTATCTTGAAAGCGAGTGTTGATTTGTTCTAAAATTGTGTCCATGATTTCATAATACAGAATTTCATATTTTTGATCTACTTGTCAAGACTTGTCTTATGCGTCCATCACGGTGCTCAGTGGGAAGTTCTGTTCTTAGGGAAACTGAATCAATTATATTTGCAAACATAACTTCACTTCTTTTAACCTTTAGTTGATTCTGCGCATTTTTAATTTGACATACACAGTAAAGAACGTTTCTGCAATACATCAAAAATTACATCGCTGATGGAAAAAATTTCATTCAAAATGATAACTAGAAGAACAAATTCAAAAGTCATTAAACATATTTAAGTAGCCCTGGCTCTGTCTTATTGAAGCCTGATCAGAAATTGGGTCGTTTAAAATGTCATTAAATACTTGTTTTAGATAATTCCAATTATTATGAATAAGACTCAAAATCTTAGAATTAGATGACCATCTTGTAACTACTGAAGTGGGTATTCGCTTATTGAGAATTACATCGGCGGCGTGAGTTCTTTTTGCTGAATGATGAAAAAAAGAAGACAGACCATTCACATCAGCAAAAGATATACGGCACTTCGAAATGCTGTTACAGCTTTGTGATAGGACTAAATTCAGACGGTGCGCCAAACAATGAACGAACGCCGCCTCTGGTGCTACTTCCTTAATCTTCGATTGATAACCATTTAATTGCCCTGTCATAAAACTAGCGCCGTCATAACATTGTCCAACAAGTTTTGATTTGTAGTCGTATTTTTCTAGACAACTTGTAACTAGGGTAAACAATGCTCGAGCTGTTCGATCAGAACTTACATCATGGAATCCTAAAAATCTTTCAAATAGCTTTCCTATTTATTATGCTACGAGAACGAGAATATTTTCAGGTAGAAAATTCTAAACGGTAATTTTGTCATAATGCTTTAAGGGACACGGTGTAAACGCGACCGAGCGTTGCCATCGGATATCGATTTTTACCGAGCAAAACGGATATGAAAAAGGCTACAGCTTCTATTAGCGAGATGTTCCCACATATTTCAAGCATTGGCTGTTTGGCACATACATTGCACCTGATTATTATGGATTTATTAAAATTTCCAGCTATGATTTCCTTCATAAATAAAGTCAAAGATATAATTAAATGTATAAAACACACCCAAGTATTAAATAGTATTTTTGATGGAATTAGAGAAGCAAAAAACTGCACCAAGAATTTGTTTTTTCCAGTTACTACCCGTTGGGGTTCCCACTTGTTCTGCTTACAATTGATGTCTGTAAAGAAAGTTTGTAAACTTTGCCTGTGAATCAAGAGGCTGGTAATATATTGGGCCGCGATAAAAAACAAACACTTTTGGATGACGAAATTTTCTAGGTGCGTATAGAAAGTACACATACTTTGATTTTCTTTTACTATACGGAGAATGGTCGCACTGCGCAGCTTTCTGAGTGCCTTTTAAAAGGAGATAGAAAACTCCGCCATTTTGAACCCTTATTACGTGTTGCCTACATCTTGGCGCAATATTTTTAATAGGTGCGTTTTAATCATCCGCTTCTGCTTCGGAATTGTTGATTTTCTTGTTTTAATCTGACAGGTTAAAACGACTAAACTGACAATTCCGGAAGCAGAAGTGGAGGACGAAGAAATTCTTTATTAGGACTCTGATTCTGATGAAGAAGACGTGACCAATGAGGTTAATAGCTCAGAAACTGAGGTTTAATTTTTGTTCTTACATGCTTTCATAATACTCAACAGTTTTATATTCTACTAGGCAGATATTTTATTTGTTTTTTTTTTTAGTTAAAGGATATATTTTTTAAATTTGTTACCAAAGAAAACTTTTTTAAAATGAAAAAGGACATTTAAATTTAATTTTTTATTTGTGTTGTTATAGTAAGATGTTATATTTTTAATTTGTTAACAAAGAAAATGTGCTGTAAAAAAATGGATATTTTAATATAATTTATATATTGATTGCGTCTTGCGTAATGAATAAATGGAATAGAAAATAAGCTGAAATTCACAAAAATGTATCGGGAATTCTTGGAGAAATTTCCGGAGATATAAAATTTTCCGGGAATTTCCCGAACACTTGGTTCCCGGAAATTTACCCATCACTAACTTCCCAAGCATGTATTTGTAATTTTTCGTGTCATAACGTGCAAACAAAAGACAGTATAAGAATTATTTTCTTTTATTGAACACATAAATCGGCAAAATGAATAGGATAAGACGTAATAAAATAACCAAACCAAAAAGTAATGTGTGGAATTACTATAATATAAAAAAACTTTAGGGAAAAACGGTTTATGTTCGCAAATTTTGTGCACGTGAATATGTTAAAAATGCAACAAGAATGACAAAACACTTGTTGAAGTGTCTGAAATGTCCAGTGATATTAAAAACGCTTTAAAATCGGGGAAAGTCGAAATGTACTCATTGCCTCTCCGATGAGTACTGTAGATTCATCCTTGAAAGGTATGTAAATATTTAGTAGAGAGTATGATGTATGGTAAACTATATATTTGTATCAAAAACCATTTAAAACAAGTAGCTGAAGGGGTATAATAAATTTGCTGTATTTTATTGCTTGAATAGATATTTTATTTAAAAATAAATAGTGATGGGTTTATAGAGAAAGTAAAAGTTGAAAAGTCTTTTGGTAGGTAGAGAGGGGGTAAACGTCAAACCACGTCGGGCGGCTCCGAGAATTTCACAGTAATGTTTACCCGCCAGTGTCGTTTCATAGAATAAGTAATTTTAAATTGTTATCGGCGGAACCGCACAATCGCATGTATTTATGGATTATAAATAATTATTGAACATGTATTATAACATTCAAATTATAATTTTACAAAATTTGAACAGCTATTCACAATTTATTAAACTATTTACTCGAAATTGTTATTAACATCTATAAAATAATTTTGTACGCCAATGTATCGCGTCCACTTCGGTGAGATCCGCTGACAACCTGTCAATTTATGTGTATAAAGTGGGAGAACTGGCAAAAGCATTTCCAACTTTTACTTCTGTTCTACTTTAAAGGATGTGAGTGTAAGGGAAGGGGGGCAACATTTAAAATTAAAAGCCTTATTACATGGAGGGTGAGAGGGGCTTTTTTGCTGAAGTTGAATTCAATTCAAGTCATAACAAAACATTTATATTCAGATCAGGGTGAAGTGGACGAGGCTTCAACTTCGACATCTGTCAGCATAACAAGTAGCGCATCAACTTCTATTTTACGTAGTTTTATGGAGCAAACACAGTTGGAACAACTGTTTGCAAGGGCAATTTATGCTTCTGCAACACCATTTGCAATCTCGGAAAATAAACATTGGCAGTTATTCTTTCAAAAATTAAGGCAAACTTTTAAAATGCCTTCATGACATTCTTTGTCTAATAAACTTCTAGAATCAGAATACGAAACAATCGCAGCCAACATAAAATTAAAATAAGTGAAGCCAATGCTCTGGGGCTGCAGTGTGATGGTTATAGCAACAGAAGAAACGAGACCATTATTAATTTTATTATCACCACTCCTACACCTGTGTTTTTTAAAACTTTTACTACTGATACAAATCAACATAGCAGAAAAAATAGAAGAAGTACTAATAGAAATAGGACCAGAAAATTTCATTGCTCTAGTGACAGACAACGCCAGTGCAATGGTCAAAGCCAGAAATATCATTCATGAAAAGTATAAACATATATATGTTTACGGTTGCGTCGCCTATACACTTATTGATAGAATACATCTCAAAAATGCGAACGATGGCTTCGATAGAGGACGATGTTAAAGATATCGTTAAAGAAATTAATAACTCTCATTTTTTACTGGCCACTTTAAAAAATATCCAGACTGAAAAAAAGGAGACAACTGTGCCAATATCTTTGAAGTTACCCGTCAAAACTCGTTGGGGAACAATTATTTACTGCTTAAAAAGTCTGCTTGAGTAGGAAAATTAATTTTAGATGAAGATATATTCTGGGTAGGAGTGTTGAAGTTGTTCAATTTGATTAACCCCAATGTTGAATTTATAACCAAACTAGAGTCAGATAAGCCTAAGCTAAGTGAAGTAATAGATTATACCCAAGAAAAACATTTTGAAACGGCGTTACTTTCAAGTCCCCTTATGAAGCAGGAAGAGCAAAATGTCCAGGAATTTTTAGCAAGAAAAAAGCATACTGCCATACACCCTATACATTTGGCAGCTAATATCTCAGACCCGCGTTTAAATGGTGTTCATTTGAGCAACGAGGAGCAAATTCAGGGTACAGAGTTTATTGATTATTTAGCTATCTCAAAATACCCAGATGACTCGGCAAATTTAATGGCGGAATTGGTGTACTATAGATCTAAAGAAGGATTTTTTGCAAAACCATATGTTTTAATGTCTGTAAATACACAAGAACCCGAGATTTGGTGGAAAGGAACCTGTTTTGGGACAAAACTAAGTAAATTAGCGATTCAAATTTTAGGAATGCCTGCAACTAGCGCTACTACAGAAAGGAGCTTTAGCACACATGGTTTCATTCGCTCCTCAAAAAGAAACCGACTGACTGCTGAGCGAGCCGGTAAAGTTACTTTTATTGCTCATAATTTGAAACTATTGGACTAGGACCAGGTATCAGCGATGTCCAAGCCCTCAAAGTATAAAGAACATGAAGAGAACCCGTCTACTTCGCACTACCAGTCACAGGGTGGTCTTAGAGAAACAGAGACAGTGGAAATGATATTGGAGTCTGACGGGAGTAATGGGTCGGGTCGGATTCGTCAGAGGATGAAAATAGTGATGGTGATGTGGACAATTTTTCTGACTCAAATTGATTTATTTTTTAAACGTAATTTTGATTTGTTAGTCTGTTTAAGATTTTATTTTATATTTTTTATGCTTTTGAGAATTATATTTTATGTTAATTTATTTGTCATCGAAAACGGAACACAAATGGTTTTGTTTTGTTTTTGCTTTATCATAAATAAATCTTTAAAGTTTAACCCATGAGTTTCAAAACTGATTTTCGTCAGGAATCGTTTACAAGTAAGAGCGCTCAGTGGTGAACAATGTAAATCATAGTATTTTTGTTGTTGCTGGTGAGAGTTGTTAAAAGATGTATTCAATATGCCGTTCAAGTTTAGATGTCACTGTCATTACATGTGAGTTGGTTTTGGTAGAAAATTCTCATAATCGAGAATATTCCCCATTTTTTTATTATCGAAAATTTTCCATCACTAGTTGGGTCCTATCAATTTTTTTAACATTTAAATTTTTAAGCAAAGATCGTTTTTACCTCGAAAAATAGAAATCTTTCGTTTAAAAATTTAATAAATTAGTATTATTGTAGAAAATTACACTCTAGTTGTATTGTTCACTTAATAAAAGCTAAAATAAACAGATTTGCATGATTGCACTTTTAACAGGTAAAAAAAATAACCGCCATTTTTTACCGTACAGTGTTCTAGTGTTGTCGGGGTCAAACACTGAAAATCTTCATAAAAAATCCAGAATACCCGATATTACCAGAAGTCGCAAAAAAAATGCAATAGTGACTAATGAAGTGATGAAAATGTTTTTAAACACGATTTTGTAAGGCATTAAATAGTGTATTCTATTAATTGCATTGCGTTAATTTATGCGAATTCATAAGTTGGGTAAAAAAAAACCCGAAAATAGGGTAAAATCCGCACACTTGGTAACTGTTGCTGTAAATTTACTAGCAAACCAAGAAAATGTTTACTCATAACTCTGTTCAATTTTAGCCAATTTTTTTTTTAATGGGAGTTGGTTTACTATTTAGTCTACCGCGGTTTTATAAAACTTTTTCATAACCAACATGTATCAATTGGAGACTGTAACCGGTGTTTTTATAACTTTTAGTTATTTAAAATCATAAAATTAAAAAGTAAAAATAAATATTTCTCACCTTTCTATATTACGACTTTTTAATTAATTTCTAAACATTATCATTGATTATTTATTTTCAAACACCTTTGAATGTGTTCAACGTACATCTAATAACCGGGTTTGTTGTAAGAATTATATTTTATTAGATAGGGTATCAAATGTTGGTAATTGAATATTTTGTTAGACTGGTTTATATTTAGACAAAGATACTTTTATTGTTCTTTGAAGTGGTTATCAGTTCAAATATTGGATCATGAAATGAAATTTAAAATAAATGAAAGATTATTTACAAACTTATGAATAAAATTCATTATATTAATACAGTTTGAAAGATAAAAAAAAGTTTACTATTAAAAATGTTATTAACGTTTTTCAAACTCCTTTTGTAGTTAGTTTCATAGTTTGTCATCTTTTAGTTGTTTTTTGTGAAGACAATTTCGATTTGGCAATTAGCAATCCTTTACCCAGAAAAGCAAAGCTTCGGGAATTCTTCATTTTGAGAATTTTCAAGGATTCTAACTTTATCCGTTTTTTCTATTTTCTCTAATTTATTATATTGTTTTTTTTTTTAATATGTAACTTTTTATTTAAACAGTCCCAATTTTATTATAGATAAACCTGATCATGTCTTGCGGAAAAAAGCACTTCGCAAAATATAATTTTTAAATAAAAATTTGCATGAAATAAAAAAATATAGGAGATTATTAAAAATTATATCACTGATTTTCGCTTATATCTCGAAAATTTTAGTGATTAATTAATTCCTTAAATACCTAGAATTTCAAGAAGAAAACTCAAAAATGACTAACTTCCGTAAATTAGAGTTTGATCATCTTTTAAGAAAATGTAAATAAATGTAATAAGAACATAGAGGTCTGCAAATTATAGAATCATTAAAATTGTAAACAAAAAATCATATACAGGGTTGGCCAAATATTTTCCCGCGGAGTATACCCCTTAAACTAGTTTGAGACCTCGAAAGGAAATCAAAACTTTATTTTGTTCGAAAATCACTATAACTAAAAAATAGTTTCATTTATATAGAGTGCTCAAAGTAGCAAAAATGTTGACATTTTCAATCGAAATTTTTACATTTTTAGATTGCTATTTCAGAGGCCTTTATGTTGTGTTGCCAAGTTATTCAAATTTGTATTACATTTTGTGAAAAATCGATACATTTCAAAATTATTCAAAATAAAGCTGCGGTGGTTGAGGGTTCATCTGTATTAGTTTGTATTTTTCTGTTGGATCAAATTTAAGTATGCTGTAATTATTGTTAGCTTGTAGAAATGAACATTTTGTCAATCTATATTATTATTAGGGAAATACAGTAATTGCTATTAATAATATGGAAATAAAAGAATTTTGTCAATGTAAAACAATGGTTTTCATTCAAAGTTAGCAGACAAAATTTTAGAGAAAAAACTTTTTAAACATGCTATTAAACAAGTTTATTTCATAATTAAAGTTCAAAATTGGAGCTATGAGACTCTCACATATAAAAACAGTTTTTATATTTGAATTTCCGAAAAAATAATCTTATGCTATAAACACCCTATGCATGTTGAAATAATTATGAAATATGGAAGAGATAAATCAAAATTTATTTTTCAACTTCGTAGAATAAATGTGATTTTAAATATTTTTAAATTTTACCATTTTTTCAGAAAACGTAATAAAAATTTAAATAACTTGGCAACATAGCATCATATTTGCAAAAACGAAGCATTGGCGTAAAAGCCGCTGGAATAGAATCTAAAAACATAAAAATATATGTTTTGCAATTTGAACGTTGAGCACTCTGTATAAATGAAACTATTTTCTAGTTATAGGGATTCTCGAACAAAACTGTTTCTTTTTTTAATTTTGATATCTTAATCAATTTAGGCGTTACACTTCGTAGATAGATAATTGAATCACCTTGTATATAGTTGAAAAAAAAAATCATACAAAATGACAATCAAACAATAATTTCAACGCGATTTTGCTGGCTACAATGTTAGTTACCCTATTTAAGATGTTTGATTTTAAAGCACTTGTTACGTGTAATAATTGTAAAAATAATAAAGGAATTAAAAAAGAAAACCTTTACGAATAATCAAATAAAATCAAACAAATTAAAAAATAATAATATTGATATAAATAAAAATATATATGTGACACTTACATCCTTCAGAGTCCATCCTGTTCTGATGCTCCTTCAATAGCTTCTCTTTTCGTTTTAGATCTAAGTTTAAGGCCTCGTTTCGTTGTCTAAATTCGCGTAATTCCCTGAAAACAAACCGAAAATTAACAAAAAAACGTTCTCGAATCGTAAGACGAATCGTACTTTTGAGCGGCGAGTAAGGCTTCCCTGGTTTTACTCAGATCCTCGCTTATCGCTTGTTTAGCTTGGATTTCGCTTTGCAGCGAGCTCTGCAAATTTAACAGCTCCATTTTGTCCAACTTTTGAGATCTCCTGTTCCTCCAGTTCTTATCGGTGCCGGAAACCACGCTCGATACGCCTATAAACAACTTACGATCTTTATATCTAGATTACGAAAACAATCTTATTTGACAAATGTAATTTACTACGTTAACGGGTAATTTCTTATTGAATATCTACCTGCGTGCTTGAGATAGTCCAATTCCTCCGTCATTTTGGTCGCAAGCGCTTGCAAGTAAGCCCTGGCGTCCTTTTCGTCGCTGACCCATTGTATGATTTCGGATAATTGAGATTCCCATTGACCCAAAGCCTCTTGCTTGCTTCTCAGTTGATCGTATTCGGATTCCAAGTTGGATCGTTCGGTTTGAAGTCGATTCATAGATTCGGTGAGCTAGAAAAACGAAAACGATATAGTAAGGAAAACGACGAGGATTTATAGTTGCGTCCGAAAGAAATACATTTTTGGAATAGCGCGGGAATAAATTGATAAAGCCTGAAGCGTGTCCAAATAAAATCTGGACGCTGAAACACTCTTTTACTTCAACAATCTGTTAACGTGATATTTTCGCGGTATATTCCTTTAATTATGCCTTTTAGATGCACTGTTCATAAAATCAACGGAAAATGTTTAATATTCATCAAAATGGTACATTTTTAAAATGATAGAGAACTTGTATCAAATGTAAATTTTGCTAAACAGGACTAATAATAATATAAGAAACTATAAATGCCTTCTGGCAGAGTCTACCAGACAATTTTAATATTTATAAAAAAACGTTCTTAACCAAGTTATAAATTAGTAGTTCAAATGTATCTCTGAACAAAATCTACTAAACAATAATATTCATAAAAAATGTTATCAGTATTTTTGAGACATCTAAATGTTTTCTAGCAAGTTATAAACGATTAGTTCAAATGCACCTTCCAGCAAAATCTATCAGACACGCTATTAATATTCATAAAGAACGTTCTCAAAGTATTTTTTAAACATGTGAATGTTTTCCAACAATTTATAAGCGAGTAGTTCAAATGTACCTTTCAGCAAAATTTACCAGCCACTCTTAATATTCATAAAGAACAATTTTAGATTATTTGTTAAACACCTAAATGTTTTCCAGCATATTATTAAAGAATATTCATTTTTTAGACGCCTAAATGTTTGCAGCAAGTTATAAGCGAGTAGTTCAAATGTATCTTTCAGTAAAATCTACCACACCCTCTTAATATTATAAAAGAATGTTCTCAGAGTATTTATTTAAACACCCAAATAATTTCCAGCAAGTTATAAGTCAGTAGTTCAAATTTACCTTTCAGCAAAATCTACCAGACACTCTTATTGTTCATAAAGATCATTCTTAATTATTTTTTTAAACACCTAAACTTTTTTCAGCCAATTATAAGCAAGTAGTTCAAATGTACCTTTCAGCAAAATCTGCGACACTCTTAATATTAATTTTTTAGACGCCTAAATGTTTACAGAAAGTTATAAGCAAGTAGTTCAAATGTACCTTTCAGCAAAATCTACCAGACACTCTTATTGTTCATAAAGATCATTCTAAATTATTTTTTTAAACACCTAAACTTTTTTCAGCCAATTATAAGCAAGTAGTTCAAATGTCCCTTTCAGCAAAATCTGCGACACTCTTAATATTAATTTTTTAGACGCCTAAATGTTTACAGAAAGTTATAAGCAAGTAGTTCAAATGTACCTTTCAGCAAAATCTACCAGACACTCTTAATAGTCATAAAAAACGTTCTCAGAATACTTTTATACATCTGAATGTCTTGCAGCAAGTTATAAGAAAATAAAATGTACCTTCCAGAAAAATCTACCACACTCAATATTCATAAAAAAAGTTCTCAGAGTATTTTTGAGACGCCTTAACGCTTCCCAGTAACTTACTATCAAGTAGTTTAAATGTACCTGTCAGTAAAATCAATTAGATACTCTTAATAGTCATAAAGAACGTTCTCAGAGTATTTTTATACACCTGAATCTCTTGCAGCAAGTTATAAGAAAATAAATGTACTTTCCAGAAAAATATACCACACTCAATATTCATAAAAAAGTTCTCAGAGTATTTTTGAGACGCCTTAATGCTTCCTAGTAAGTTACTAGCAATTAGTTCAAATGTAACTGTCAGTAAAATCAATTACACTCTTAATAGTCATAAAGAACGTAACCCCTAACTTTTTCAACATATCATAGCGAGTAGTTCAAATGTACCTTTTAACAACATCTACCACGCACTTAATATTCATAAAGAACGTTTTCAAAGTATTTTTGAGACACCTAAATGTTTTCCAGCCAATTCTAAGCAAGTAGTTCAAATGTACCTTTCAGCAACATCTACCAGACACTCTTAAAGTCATAAAGAACATTCTCAGAGTACTTTTATACACCTGAATGCCTTGCAGCAAGTTATAAGAAAATCAAATGTACCTTCCAAAAAAAATCTACCACACTCAATATTCATAAAAAAAAATTCTCAGAGTATTTTTGAAACGCGTTAATGTTTCCCAGTAAGTAACTAGCAATTAATTCAAATGTACCTGTCAGTAAAATCAATTACACTCTTAAGTCATAAAGAACGCAACACCTCAGTAAGTAACTAGCAATTAGTTCAAATGTACCTGTCAGTAAAATCAATTACACTCTTAAGTCATAAAGAACGTAACACCTAACTGTTTTCCAACATATCATAATCGAGTAGGTCAAATGTACCTTTTAACAACATCTACCACGCACTTAATATTCATAAAGAAGGTTTTCAAAGTATTTTTGAGACGCCTAAATGTTTCCCAGCAAGTTATGAGGGAGTAGTTCAAATATACCTTCCAGCAAAATCTACCACACTTTTAATATTTCTAAAAAAACGTTCTCAAAGTATGTGTTTAATATTCACAAGAAATGTACTCAAGAGTAATTTTCTGCTAAATATGAATTCTTTCAATTAAGTTAAGAAGGTAATTCAATGTTCCTTTTGGCAAAATCAACCAGATATTTTTTTATTCTCAAAGGGAACATCCTCGTTGCAAATTTGGAGACATATCGGTGTTTTCTAGCACGATTTAAGCGATTAGTTCAAATGTACTAGTCGGTAAACTCAACCAGGCACGTTTGAAACTCGCAAAAAACGTAAGTAGTAGTTTTTTAATGCATCTAAATTGTTTCCATAAAGTTTAAATGGAGTAGTTCAAATGTTTCTTTGGTCAAAATTAACCAGATGCTTTTTGTATTCACAGGAACGTCCACATAGTAATTTTGGAAGCATCTAGTAGTTTTATAACAGGTTTTAAGCGAGTAGTTTAAATGTACCACTCGATAAAATCAACAAGGCACGTATGATATTCGCAAAAACAGTAAGTAGTAGTTTTTTATTCATCTAAATATTTTCTACCAAGTTTAAATGGGGTAGAGCAAATTTTTCTTTAGTCAAAACTAATCAGATACTTATATTTAGAAGAACTCCTTCAAATGAACTTGTCAGTAAAATTAAGCATGACCCAATGATTTTTGATACATATAAATAATGCATTCCATCAAGTTCTAAGCGAGTAGTTCAAATGCACCAATCGATGAAATCAACTAGAGGTTTGATATTCCCAAAAAAATGTAACTGGTTGTTTTTATGTTTAAATTGAGTAGTTCTAATGGTCCTTTATTCAAAAGCAACCATATCTTCTTTGCATTTACAGGAACATGATCATGTTAATTTTGGAGATATCTAAAGGTGTTCCAGCACACTTTAAGCAAGAAGTTCAAATGTACCTTTCAAGAAAAATCTACCAGACACTCTTAATATTCATAAAAAAACGTTTTCAGAGTATTTTTTGAGACATCTTAATGCTTTCCATCAAGTTATTAGCGAGTAGTTCCCTTTAGCAATATCTACCAGACACTCTTAACATTCATAAAGAATTAGCACATTTTAAGCGAGTAGTTCAAATATACCTGTCGGTAAAATCAATCAGACACGCTTGTTATTCGCAAAAAAATCTTCATTTCTGATACATCTAAATGGTTCCAACAATTTTTAAGTAGCAGTTCAATCGTATTGTTTGGTAAATTCGACCAGAAATGTTTAATATTCACATTTAAACACTTTCAATCGATTTTAGGTAAGTTTTTCTAATGTATCCTTCGGGAAAATAAACGAGACGTTCTTATTATTCACAGAAAGTCATTAAAGCCGTTTCCTGATTGACAATATCAAGTTTTAAAAAAGTAGTTCAAATGTATACTTAATATTAGCAAAAACACAAGTATTTTTTAAAACAACTAAATTCTTTTCATTTTCTAAGTAAAGTTCGATGAAATAGTTCAAATGTACCGTTCAGTAAATTAAACCAACCATGCTTATAAATCATTAGAAACGTATTTATTTAATACATACCAGAAATTTTAAGTAGTTTAAATAAATCTTTGTAAATTCAAGCCAGTACGCTTAATATTTAGAAGTAATATTATCGGAGTATTTTTCTAAACATTTAAAGGCGTAATAATGCTGCGATTTAGATAATAAACATTTGAGAAAGAAAAAATGGCGAAAAACGTTGTTAGAAAAACAGTGGTTACGACGTAAATATTTCATTAAACAATTTATGATAGTTAATATTTTATTAGTATTAGCTCTGATTAATAAACTCCTGTACCAAATTAATAGATTTCTTCAGCACTGCAAGAAAGGTATAGATAAATATATATGTAAGCCAAAAAATATCGCGATGTTAGTAAGATGGTTAGGTACACCAACACCTAAATAAAAAAAATATTTATCAAAACTCACTAAATCTACATTAGAGGAAAGTTTTTTATTTTCTTCAGTTAGAATGTGTTTCTCTTTATCGTGTTTACTTTTGAGGTCGGCCAATAATTGTTCCGAATCGGCTAGCAACTCGATTCTGGACTTTTCCAGTTTATCTTTCAGAATTTGGACCTAATATAAACACAAACGTTAAAAAAAAATCATCTAATATAAAACATCACTTAAATACTAAGAATGGTATGCTTACTTCTCTTTCTAGAAGTTCCCTATGCGTTTCCGCTTCATGAAGTTGGTCTCTAAGCGAGGACAACTCCATGTTGTATCTGGCTTGTTGTTGCGTCAAACTTTCGTTATATTGTAGCTAAAAAAGTAATATACAAATAAAAATAATTTCTTTATTGCAATGTAATAATTCATTACCTCTAGTTTTTCGAGTTCCGCCTTTAATCGTAGAGAGTCCTGTTGATCTCTGGGACCATGCTCGCTTCTGACCCTCAGCCTATCAGATTCCGCCTGCATTTGCCGGCAGTATTCTTCCGATCGTTCTCTCAGCTTCCTTTCCTTGGTGGCTTCGGCCTGAGCTTCGTCCACTCTCGATTCGAGCTCTCTCCTTAATTTTTCGGCGCGTCTGATGTCATTTCGCAACGAATCCACTTTTTGCATTACCGTTTCTAATTCTTCTTCTTTGTCTCTCACCTTCAAATATTTAATAAAATTGTGAAAGTCGATATTTCGCGCTCAAACAAAACTTACCTGTCTGGAAAATTTTTGTTTCTGTTGCCGAAGTTCGGCCAATTTATCGGACACCTCGGTATATTCGGTCATGGCTAATTTTTTTTGAGCCAAAGCGTCCTTCAACTCCAAATCTTGGAACTTAAGCTTCTCGTGCAAATCTTGTCGGTCTTTTAAAATTTCGTCCTTCTCTTGCTTTAATAACCTAATTATTTTTTCTAATTCCTTATTTTTTACTAAAACAAAAGTAAAAAACAATAATTAAATTCCTTCTAATTCATCCCAAGGCTATTATGTATACAGTATGGTTCAAATGAAAGGAATAAATTCATTATAATGGAAGTAGTTGGTTTTTCTAAAAAATGCTCAGACGGGACAATTTTGTTTACTCAAAGCGCATTTTTTAAGTAGAATTCAATTTTCCCCCACTTCCCATTTTTGGGTAGTGACGTCATTGACAATTTTTTTAAATAGTAACCCCAATTTTTTTTTCTTCCTGATTTTGTTAGATCTTGTAATTTCCTACTCGGAAACATAATATTTGAAATATCTTACATAACAATTTTTTTTTAATAAAAGTAATTTAAAGATCAGACACATAAATTTTATTTTATTTTGAGAACACAATAAATGAATAAAAGATAATTATTTGTAATTAAGTGCTTAATTAAACAAAATAATATTATTATTTTTTTTTTAGATGAAGCACTTAATTACAAATAATCTTTTATTTATTTATTGTGTTTCAAAATAAAATAAAATTTATGTATCTGATCTTTAAATGACTTTTATTCAAAAAAAAGTATTATGTCAGATATTTCAAATATTATGTTTCCGAGTAGAAAATTGCAAGATCTATCAAAATCAAGAAAAAAAAATTGGGGTTACTATTTAAAAAAATTGTCAATGACGTCACTGCCCAAAAATGGGAAGTGGGGGAAAATTGAATTCTATTCAAAAAATTGCGCTTTGAGTAAACAAAATTGACCTGTCCGAGCATTTTTTCGAAAAACCAACTACTTCCATTATAATGAATTTATTCCTTTCATTTGAACCATACTGTATATAAGAAAACGTAGGTTTAGCTAAAAATGTTTAATATTTACGAGGAACGTCCTCTGGTAGGTTTTTAAATATTTTACAGCACGTTTTAAGCGAGTAGTTCAAATGTACCAATCGGGATAATCATACAGAGGTTTTTAATATTCACAAGAAATGTTCTCAGTGTAGTTTTTTTGTTATATGTGAATGATTTCTAACAAGTTTAATAAATGTTTTCAAAGGTTCCTTTTGGTAAAATCAACCAGATACTATTATTATTTTTAAAAGGAACTTTCTCATAGCAATTTTGATATTTAAGTTAAGTTTAAAGGATTAGTTTAAATGTTCCTTTAATCAAAACCAATCATATACTTTTTATATTGACTGGAACGTCCTCATAGTAATTTTGGAGATATCTAAGTATTTTATAACACGTTTTAAGATAGTAGTTCAAATATACCGATCTGTAACTGAATGTGTTTAATATTCACGAGAAACGAATAGTTTTTTGATAAATATGAATTCTTTTCATCGAGTTAAGAAAGTAATTCAAGTGTTCCTTTTGCCAAAGTCAATCTCATACTTTTTTATTGTCACAATAAATGACCTGAAAGTAATTCTGGAGACATTTAGATGTTTTTAAAAACTTTTAAGCAAGTAGTTCAAATGTACTAACCGGCAAAATCAATCAGGCAGGTATGATATTCGCAAAACTAGTAGTTTTTTTTTTATGCATCTAAATAGTTTCCGTATTTTCGGACTATAAGACGCACCTCAAATTTATAAGATGATTTTTAAAAAAATATATTTTAATGTTTCTTTCAGATCATAATTTTTATTTATTTGTTAACATAACTCGTGCTACAATATTCAGTTCATCTTTACTCTCGGTAGGTACTATCACTCGTCTCGTTAATGTCACCATTATTACTTTCATCTGAACTATTGTTGGCACTCCTTTCAAAAACTGCATCGTCTATTAATGTTACCTTCGGACCATAAGACGCACCCAAAATTTGAGTCCATTTTCCTATGTAAAAAGGTGCTTCTTATAGTCCGAAAAATACGGTAGTTCAAATATTCCTCTAGCCAAAATTAGCCAGATATTCTTTATATTCATAGTAACGTCCTCATAATAATTTTGGAGATATCTAAGCGTTTTCTAGCACTCATTTGTGAGGTTTAAAATTGTCACACCGTAGATACCCACATATTTTCTTACAAGATATAAGCAAGTAGTTCAAATGTATCCGTCGGTAAAATTAACCATGCTCGCTTCATTTTCACAAAAAACATACTCAGTTGCTTTCCAACAAAGTTTTAATTAGTTCAAATGTACCAGTCGGTAAAATCAACCAGATTCGTTTGATACTTGCAAAAACATAATTAGTAGTGTTTTTGATGCATCTGAATGGTTTCCATCAATTTTAAATAGAGTAGTTCAAATGTTCCTTCAGTCAAAATTAACCACATACTCTTTATATTCACAGGAACGTCCTCATAATAATTTTGGAGATATCTAAGGGTTTTCTAGCAATAAATCAGAATTTCAGAATTAATTTTTTTAATGTACATAAATATCTAGTCGTTTTATAACACGTTTTAAGCGAGTAGTTTAAATGTACCTCTCAGTAAAATCAACCGGGCACTCCCAATATTCACAAGTTATTTCCTTAGTATTTCTTATAGTGTGGACAATTTAAAAACTACTCTCACAAACGAAAGATATCAAAAAATGCTTAAAAACGTTTCTGGGATAGGAAGGGGGAACTAAAATGACATAAAAGAGAACCCACAAAATTGTAGTTCAACAAAAACTTATACCCACATATTTTCTTACACGATATAAGCGAGTAGTTCAAATGTATCCGTCGGTAAAATTAGCAACGCCCGCTTTATTTTCGCAAAAAAACATGGTCAGTTGCTTTCCAACAAAGTTTTAAGCAATTAGTTCAAATGTACCTTTCGGTAAATTCAAGCAAATATGCTGAATTTTGAAAATAAACTTTTAAAACAAATAAAAAATTTAATTTCTTGTAATTACGAGCAAAGATGTATGTATATAGGAATATAGTGTAGAAATTAGGTTTTATCAAAACAATTTTGTAAATAGAAATTACGGTGATTCACTCACAATTATCAACACCATCCAACGAGTCTATATGCATTTCTCTAGAGTTGCTGGCTTCCAAGCTTCTCAGTTGCGATTCTAACTCGCAATTCCGTTTGGTCAGCGTATTAATTTCGTCCTGCAACCGTCGAGTGCTGTCGGGCGACATCTTCTTCTCGCACTCCTTCTCCTTTTTTTCGTGGTTTAGTGCCAAATCCATAATATCACTTCTGTTTCGTTGATTCTGTTTCTCCATAAAGTCTGAGTCTATGTACATCGTCAAATTGCTTAAATCACAAATAAAGCTAAAAAACAAAAAAAAATACGTGTATAAAATCTAAAATTATCAGTTTAATTTTCATCTTGGTTACCTTCCTTGCGTAAAGGAAAATCCCACGAAAGGTAGATGCAAACCGGTAAAGGCGTTATTGGCAGTCGGCGGTAATACATCTGACAACCGGATGTCTGCGTCATCGACGTCAAAATTCGAAGTGTCCGTGGGACTCGACACTTCCGGTATGTAAGGGGCGGTGCTGTCTCTGATGCCGTCCCAGTCGACGTTTTCGAACCAAGGATGGCTCTAGATAATGGAACAGATTAAAACAAAATCATTAAAAAAGCAGTCAGATAAAATAGCTTAAACCAGAAAATCAGCTGGTTGATGCAAGAATTAAAACATTCATTGCCCTCATACGACTAGTTTGTATAATACTTCGATTAAAGATACCTGAGATGTAAATAGCGCATTTCCCAGTCTCCCAATTCAGTTAACCCATCTTTAGAAGTTGGCAACATTCGTACAGCTTAAACACTAGGGTGGAGCGAAAAAAAATATTATTTTTTACTATATATAAAACGTAAGAAAAGTTACCTCTACATATATTAAGCTATTTTCTGAAATTTCAATTTAAAAAAAAATGTCTTCAAGGCTCTACCTCCCATCAAGAATTTTAAAAAACAAAAAAAAAACATATTTTTTTTAACTTTTAATACAATCTAAAAGTTGCCTTTACTTATAGTAAACTATTTCCTAGATACATTTTGTTCATTTTTTGTAATTTTGGCAAATGAAAAATCATTCAAATATTATACCTACATGCGAAAAATCTAGTATTGATTATATCCCGAAAAACTCAAAAAAAAACTGTTGGACCAACCGCATTTAGATTGTCACCCTTGGACAAAATGATTTTGATTGTCTACACAAAGCGTGATACACGTGATATTTCTTTTTCTACTACCACGGTCCGTATCACCAACTATATGATCCCCTGTCACAGGTACATCCATTATTTTGGATTGTTTCGTAAAAAAACAGAAAAATGTAAGCACACAAAACAACCACTTCAGACAGCAACAAGTGCAATGACAAACAAATGGCAATTAGTTCACGGCGCAAGGACAAACTTCTGTTAGTTTGTCTACTGCCAATGGACATACAGCACATAGAAAGTCCAAGGTATTTTTATCATTTAATTTGCATGGGAGAAAATGCATTTAGAACGTCTTTTGTGGCTTAATATTGTAGCTCTATGCATGTAGTTTGTGATGCCACCTTTGGTTGAAAATTTGAAAAAATGGACAAAATGCATCTAGAAAGTCTGCTCCTCAAATGTATTCAGGTCTCTACCTTTCATCAAATTGAAAATAAAATACATAAAATTCTAGTAAAAATCATAAACCAAATACACCTATTCACAAGTGTCTGGCATCAAACTTTTACATTAATAAACAAATCCAGAAAATCCCAAATACTATGTCACGAAACTCTTCAAAATTGTTCAATCCAATTAAGGTCAGTTTATAATCGTTTATGCACGGCGAATTGTGTAGCTCTGAGCTGAACTCAGTCTTCTTTTGATAGTAGCGGAAGTAAGATCTTTGTTTTAAGTTGTAATGAGTTTGTCAGTGAAGGATACTAGGAGCAGTAGGGGAGCTACTAATTGTCCTATATTTGGTGCACCAGCGAATTTTCTTTCTAATGTTTTGCCAACTGTGGAAAATATCATGAAGCAATTACTCGAAATGAACTTAAGGTTTTGAGTTCCGGTAGACTCTAGTAGTTTAAAAATTTTTCAAATTCTTGCGAATGAAATGGAAGTGATCTTAAAAAAGGTTCAATTACCACTATATAGAAAAATTGCATTATACAATTAATTCGAGATATCCTGAGTAAGTACCAAACCATTATTAAATATCCTAAAACTAAACGAAATGACGATTATAAATTAAAAGTTAAGAAATATAAAGACGATTTAAAGAAATTATTCGATATTGCTGCATGTAAATGTGCTTCTTCTGTGGCTGTGTTAAAAAACGCAAAATACCAAATATAGAGAAATAATTTATTCACGATCAACGAACTGTGAGAAAATTTGTTATTGGAAAAATAGACGTTACTGAAACAAATAAATTAAAAGCCAAATAAGAAAGAAACATTAAGATCAAGGCGTATGCAAATCAGCTTCCTTTTAAGTTTGAAGTAGACAATGACAACATTGAAAATTTTGAGCGAGACAGTATTTCTTATTCATTTGAGTCTAAGATGTCAGTAGAGCTTGAGAATTTGACAGAAAAATAAGAAGCTAAGTCGGAGCTTCCATCAACATCAGGTTGCAGTACAAGCCAGCAAATGAGATTGCCTATTCCCAACCTAGCTCGTATTTCTGACCAATTTGGCATTTCGGACCGTTCTGCAGCAGCGCTTGCATCTGCTGTATTAAAAACACCGTTTTGATTTAAAAAGCGAATTACAAACATCCACTCCGGAGATTAGAGCATTATACTTCGATGGAAAAAAGGATAAAACGATTTTCCAGGAAGAAATTAGAAACAAATTTCATCGCAAAATAAAAATCGAAGAACATATATCATTGCTTGAAGAACCAGGTTCAAAATATATGGGTCACATTACACCAACAACAGTTACGGGGAAACATATTGCCATATCTATAGTTAATTCTCTACAAGAATTCGATATCAGTACAAATAAGCTTTTAGTAGTAGGCTACGATGGTACAGCGGTTAATACAGAAAGGAAGAATGGAGTTTTGTGGCATTTAGAAATAAAACTGAATCGTCCTCTGCAGTGGATGATATGTCAGCTACATATGAATGAACTGCTTTTTCGTCATATTCTTCAATATCTTGACGAAGAAACTTCAGGACCTTGTGTATACTGTGAAGCTATTGGAAAAATGTTGGGAGTATTGCGAAAAATTGCCCGTTGCAAATTTTGTTCCTATTGTTAGCCCTTTACCAGAATTAGACGCTGCAGCTATTAGGAATCTTAGCACTGATCAAAAGTACTTATATGAAATGTGTCCCTCAATTTCTAGAGGAAACTGTTCACTAGATCTAGCAGCTCGTAATCCAGGTAAATTATCAAACGCACGATGGGCTTACAAAGGCAAACCGTATATTGCGAGTTTACATCGGAAGTAACATGTCCGTCTACAAGTTTAAGAACAATCACTGAATTTGTGGTAAACGTCTATACGCCAGTGTGGTTTGACATTAAAAGAAAACCATAGCGTATTGATGAAGAAAGGCACGTTTTCAGAATGATACAGTTGTCACGCTACTTGAACAACGAATTGAAGGCAGTCATCGATCCTGTTATCAAACGAAATGCGTATTTTTGTCATCCGGAGAACCTTCTTCTAGCAATGCTTTCTTATGATCGTCCTGCTATAAGACAACTTGCAAAGAGTATTGAAGGTGAGTACAAAAATATCTACAGACGTAAGGGAATTTGTTATTCCTGAATTAGATTTCGATGCCAGTGAATATTATGAGCTTATTGATTGGTAAAATTGCTCAGTTACAGCACCACCTCTTTTAAGTACTGCAACTGATAGAGATATCGGGAACTTGTCCTGTAGATTTTTTGTCTTTTCCCTGCCATACACAGGCAGTAGAGAGGTGCGTGAAGGTTGTAACAGATGCTTCCAATTCTGTTGTCGGCCATGACTCAAGAGATGGGATTTATTCGTGCAAGAATTCATTCTAGAATCATACTACCTCGATTTAACACTAAGGCGGAATACAATGCATGAATTTCATATACCTATTTTTTTTTTGTTTGCTCGTCTATGTTATATTGTTAAGTTGTACTTGCTTTTGTTTATAAACAAAACATATTTAAATTGTCTATTTTTATTTTTATTAAAATATTTGCAAAAGTAATACTATTTCATTTATTACTTCGTTTTATTAGATTATTCGGGAAAATAGGAAAATTAAAAAAAAAAGAATTAGGTTAGGAGTAACATGTGCCCTACAGAGAAAATCTGTTTCTACTGTAACAAATCTGTTAAAAATTCGTCTTATGCATTGTTTGCAAGAAGAACTGTTTCCATGAAAGTTGTGCTAAAAGAGTTTGCACAATTCTTAATAGATCTATAAAATGTCCATAGTGTGTAAAAAGTGAGGTTAAAAAAGTTGGAAACCCCGTTGGCAGTATCAATGTCGCCCTACAGGATCTAAATATGTCATCTACAGAGGCGGTGAAGAGTCTGAGAGACTTATAAGAAGCAGTTACATTTATATCTGCCAAATTTGATGACATTCAAAGAAAATAAGAGTGTTCTTAATGAACTAAGAACACTTAAAAACGAGAATTCGAGTCTTACAATTAAGGTGAATCAACTTGAAGAACGCATAAATGAAATGGAGATGAAGGAAATAGACTGTAATGTTGAGATACATGGTGCACAAGTTAAAAGTTTGGCTGAGCCCAAAGCTGTTGTATTAGAAATTGCTAATGATTTATTTCAAGGTAATATTCTAAATAATGATATATGTGAATGTTATACCAAAGAAACAAAAAAGGAGCAATTATAATTACAAAATTCTCTAATCAGAAAATAAAAAAGAAATTCCTAGACAGTCGCAAAGGTCGTAAAAGTGACTCAAAAATGCTCAGTGTAAACAAGTCAATTAATAAGGTTACCAAATAATCCACTATTTATGTGAATGAACAACTTACAACCACCAATAGGAACTTATTTAACATGGCATACAAATTAAAAAAGAATGATGGTTATAAATTCTTGTGGTCAAAAAATGAAAAAGTGTATATAAGAAAACATGATGGTGAACCTTCAGTTCGAATAAACAAGAAAGAAGACTTAGATTGGAATTGGAATTAATAACTAATTTAAACAAAAAACTAACTACAGACTGTTGAATAAAACTTTATTAAAATGGCTAATACAAGTCCCAAATTTTATAACGATCTTGACGAGTTTAAAATGAAGCAAATCAATCTGTTTTTTTTCTATATTATACTTAAACGCTCGCTCAGTACGTAATAAGTTAGATGAAATTGAAGCATTTAGTAAACTTGTAAATCTACCTGATGTAATTGTTGTTACAGAGTCGTAGCTTTCTCCTGGTGAGGAAAACTATTTTAATTTGCCAGAGTATAATGCAATTTATGAATCAAGAAATAAAAGCGGAGGTGGAGTTGACATTCTAGTAAAAGAAGGCTACAATTTCACAGAAATTGACAGGTTAAGTGAAAAATGTTCTATGCTATTTATAAGATTAGAACAAAGGAACTCAAAGGACCTCAAGATTTTGATAAAAACACTTTTTTAAACGTTTTAGAAGAAAAGTTAGAAAATATAACTATAAAAAGAAAACGTTTATTTTGGAAAACTTTAATATTAACTGTTTAGATAAAAATGATATGTACAAAAGAAACCTTGATTACCTAATTGATTCACTAGTATTGGGACGTGTTGTCTGCTACCTTTCAGCTGACTTAAGGAAGACTCTGTATCATCTATCACTAATTCATTCACATCTATTATATGTAACTCTTATTTGGAGCAACTTCCCAAAATAGACTAAAACCCTTGAAAATTCTACAGAATAGAGCAATCAGAAAAACTCTTCAACTTCCTTTTTGTGATTCTACTGATTTTTTGTATCGTCATTATTAGGACGATACAATATCGTCCAAATAATATTCTAGACATTCAGTCCTTCTCTAAATATCAGACATGCATTTTTATTCATAACCTGAATAATATACACTCATCCATACAACTGACTACTTCCTATGATATCCATAGATATAATACTCGGAATAATCGCTGATTTTAGAACCACAGCCGTAAGAACAAGCTTTGGTGACCGAAGCATACTATCTGATGATCTAAGACAATACAATATGCTTCCTAGCACCATAAAGAGCATAAGGACTGACCTCTTTGAAAAAAAAAAAAAAAAAAAAAAACTAAAAGCTCACTTAATAGAATTTTCTTGGTTGATATCATGTTTAAAAAGGGTTTAAGTAATAGTGTGATATTAAATCACTGTATTTTTTTTCTTAATTAGTATTAGTTATTTTGTAGTAGTATTGTTATTATTATAACTAAGCAGGTACCGAATTCTTCTTCTGAAATATATTATAAAATTTTTACCTTGTAAGACCCACATAGTTCTTAAGCTCTGGGTCTAAATATACCAAATTGTATTCTTTTTTTATTAATAAACTTGATGGAACCTTTAAGTAGGTGTAGAGCCCTGAAGATATTTTAAAAATAAAAATAGCCCGTTAATCATTCTTACATTTAGCAACTTTTCCACACTATTACGTTTCAAAATAAAATAAAAAATATTTTCTTCCTGTTTCACTCCACCCTAATAAACACTTGTATAACATCCCCGGTTTCTTTAATCTAAGGTACAATTCTTATAATGTGAAATGCGTTTTGGCATACTTACTAGATGGCAGCACACGCTCAACTTGAGAACTGTACAAACCAGTCGTTTTATAGCCGATTTAAAATACTTAATTTTTTTTTGTTACGTTTGTAATTTATTGCTATATTTTAAAATATTATAAAGTTATTTATTAAAGCAAATTAGAATGTAACAACCAAAAGTATAAAAATTATGAATCACTATTTTATATTGATTCACTTTCTTATGAATAACGATATAATCGCCTCAGATTACTAAAGAAATATCATTTTAAAAACTCGCTACTTATATAAAAAATGCATCGAGATTCCAAAGATTACAAAAATTATAATAAAACGAATTCCAATGAATACAATTAATGTTATTATTAAAATATTTCGAATATCGTAATTTTATTAAACCGTTTAGTTGTCTGTCTGCAACTAACTTTATCAAATTGCGATATTCTAAATAAAAATAATCGAAATTTGCAAAAATGCACCGCGTAAAATTTTGAAATCTTCAAAAAATCAAACGCAACGTTTGTATCACTGCAAATATTCAAGCACTATAACTCGAAAGTACCTGACTCTAAATAAAATGGTGATTTTTCGTGGAAATCGACCCCGAAAGGGACTTCCACGAAACATAATGCTGTACCATTGGGTTTACAGTAAAAGTTACAGTCCACTTTTTACCAAGATTACAAAGGCAAGCTACGAGTTTTTAGTTTTTCATCGATAAAGTATCATCACAGGCAATTTTATTATATCAAATTTAACGAATCCACGTAAATTAGCGGGTGCGGCACACAACGACAAATCGTTGAATGGACGGAGAACGGCACATCTGGGGGGTAAACTATAAAGGGCAATTCATTGAGAAACGGATATACGTAGATGAAAGCCACCAAGGTGATTCTAAATAACCTCTGTTTAATGGTACTTTGTGGTCTTTTATAACCGAGATACAGGATATGTCAGCTATTTATTTTCTTTCCAGAAAAATAGGTCTAAAAAATGTAGTCTAAAACATTTACGGCCGTATGCACAGTCGATCGCCAGCGACTCGCCAGAGATTCATTTCGGCGCATCCCAGCGATCCGCCGGCGAAAGCCAAAAAAGGTGGCGACTCGCTGAAGATTTTGGTAATGTTTTCGATATCCCGGTATTGATTTTGGAATTTCGTTGATGATTTCTGGATTTCGGTAATGATTTCTGGATTTCGGTAATGATTTTGGGATTTCGGTAATGATTTCGGAATTTCGATAATGATTTTGGAATTTAGGTGATGATTATGGGATGTCAGTGGCAATTTCAAAATTTTGGTAATAATTTTGGGAATTCGGTGGCCATTTCTGAATTTTCGTATTGATTTTGGAATTTCGTTAATGTTTTCTGGATTTCGGTAATGATTTCGGGATTTCGGTAATGATTTCGGGATTTCGGTAATTAATTCTTTCGGTAATGACTTTGGAATTTCAGTGATATCGGTGACAATTTAGGGATTTCGGTAATGATTTAGGAATTTCGGCGATGATTTAGGAATTTCGGCGATGATTTCGGGATTTTAGAGGCAATTTCGAGATTTCAGTTACGATTTCGAAATATCTGTAGTGATTTTGGAATTTTCTTAATGATTTTAGAGATTTATAAAAGAACTTTCGGTGATTTCACGTGAAAAGGTACCAGTACTTCAAGAGTGGTTCACGTATCGGGCATACCGTAAGACGGTCCGCCATTATGTATGTGAAGGCGCTCATTTTGAACCGTTAATAACGAACAAACCCCGTTTCTAAACGTTTTTGCACTAAAACTACCATTACATGGATCGTTTCTTACCTTAAAATCTTCCATGCCGTTTTGACCCAATCTGAATTCCTGGCTACAGATCAATTTTTTGATTAAATCTTTGGCGGCGTCCGATACCTCGACGTCCGTTGGAAAATCGAAACAATTTTTGTGGTTCATTATTTTTCCGTATGTTTCGACCAGACTTTCGGCGTAAAACGGCGTTTCTCCGAACAGCATTTCGTACATACAAACGCCTAAAGTAATTGCAAACAAATATGATAAAATATTTAAAAAATAATTTAACTAATACAAAATTGTATACTGATTTTTGTTTCCAAGTGACAGAGAACTTTTCATTAATAAAAAAATGTTTTGTGACTGAAAAATCGATTATAAGTCATAACAAACGATTTTTGTAAACCTTAATTCACAAAAAAATATATTATTCTGATTATGAAAGTCATAAATATCGAAATTAGTGAGTTCTAAAGTCCGTAAAATCCATTATTCTAAGTGCTAAATCAAAAAAAAAAACATGAAAATTATTTACCTAAAGACCACCAATCACACTCAGGTCCGTATCTACCTTGACCATCTTCCATAGCCTGAAATATAATTAATTTAACAATCTGTATAAAAATCTTCACAGATATACGAAATTAACACCCAGGTGCACCATTACATTCTAGAATTAATTCCAATCCTGGGTTGATTTCAGGATCAGAATAAGTTTTAAATTGTTGTACCAACGGTAAATTAGAGTCAAATCGGTGTTTCACATCTCAGGTCACCAATATTGTCATTATAGGATGCAGAATTGGGAATTGTGACCTCTCTTTTGAACTATAAGGTAGAAAACCAACGATTTGCAGTGTGTTGTTTGTTATTATAATGAAATAGACAACTACATTTAATTGTAAGCAATCAAATTAAATTATATTTAAATTAAAAGTATATTTTACAATCGAGTAAAATGGGTGTAAAACCAGATTTTATCTGACTCACTAAGCATTACATTAGACGAAGAACAGGTAGACATACTATGTGTAAGTGAACACTGGCTACAAGAAGAGGAATTAAACATGGCGAATATTGATCATTTTAAGTTAATAACATGCTCGCAAGAATATGGACAGAGGAGGGGTCTTTATATTTGCAAAAGATTACATAAAAATTCAACCGATTTCGCTTTCAAAGTATGTCTTGCAAAACTAAAAGATCCAGTGGCAAAATACTTTACATGCATTATATGTGTACCTATATAGGACAAGTAATGCTTTTGATACTTTCATGTGTAGTTTATAAATATTTTTATATAAATACTTTAATGATAAAGACAAATTATGTGGGGACATTAACATAAGACTTTTTAGTAGAAAGCAGAACCGGGAATGAATTGATTAATTTATTTTTAGAATTTAATATCAAACATCATATAAATGAACTTACAAAAGTAACAAATTCTAGCCAAACTTGTATAGATAATATATTTTCAAATCATATAACAGATAATTAAAGTACATGGCTCTTTTCTCTCTGACCATGCTTATCAGGTGGTAGAATTTGAAGGGTACCAAATCGGAGAACATGATCATACATTTACATATAAAAAAAACTATAGAGATAGAAATACTCAAACATTCTACCATCTAATAAGAAATGAAAAATGGGATGGATTGTATGAATCAACATCTACTTTCCATGATAAATTCAGTTTGTTTTATGATACATTTTTATACCATTACAACTGTTCTTTCCCTATAAAAAAAGCAAAAAAAAATGATTAAACAGTCCATTTTATACTTCTAGGTACATAGAATTTAAAACAATCTATAAAAATACTGTTAAATATTACCAAAAGAATAAAAATGATAAAATAATAAAAAAATCTGTAAATGTTATGAAAGATAGCTGGAAAATAATCAAAAATGAAACAGATGCGGTACACTGTATTTCCTCTATACCCAAACTAGAAATTAATGGAAGCAAAATAACAAATCCTCTAGAAAAAAGTAATGTATTAAATAATTATTTTATAGGATTAGTTGATACTTGTTCAAAACCAGACAGTAAATTTTCCTAATGGATTTTTTTCTCACACCAGTAGTCCCAGAAGAAGTAATAACTTTATTGAAAAAAAAAAAAAAACACTACTAAACCTTCCGCTGGTATAAACAATATAAATGGCAGGGTTCTGGCTACGGTTGCTGAATACATATGTGTACCACTTACATACCTAATCAACTCATCATTCACTACCGGAACTTTTCCGAATCTTAAAGAATCTAAATGCATCCCAATCTATAAAAAAAAGGCTCGTGTACAGACCCTAAAAATTACCGCTCTATATGTATACAGAGTCAAATAGCTAAACAGTATTTTCCATTAGACTAGTAAAGTATCTCGAAAATTTTAAAATAATTTCTGACAACCACCATGGGTTTAGAGCTAATAAATCAACTAACACAACAATATTAGAATGTATAAACTATATATATGAAGAACTTAACCGGAAACAGCATATTATAGGTATTTTTTATGACCTTACCCGTGCCTTTGACTCAATAGACCACAGCTTACTATTAAAAAAACTCGAAGGTATAGGAATAAGAGGAAAGCCACATGACTGGGTAGTCTTATATTTGGCGGATCGGTGTCAGACAACAGCTATTGATGGGGCATCATCTGAATGCAAGAGTAATGCATTAGGCATTCCCCAAGGCACATTGCTTGGGCCAATATTCTTTATAATTTTTATAAACGACATTCCAAACACTTGAATAAAAACAGATAAAGCTGTTTTTTATGCGAATGATGCCAATATGATATTGTCTAAAAAATGTGTCAGTACCCTAATAGAAAATTGAAATAACGTCACAATAGAATTTGAGGGATATTGTGAGGAAAATAGCCTTCAGCTAAATTGCGAGAAAACCGAAGATTTGCTAATTAAACTTTCTGGAAAATCAATAGAAAGTACTTGATCAATGAAATTTCTAGATGTAACTCTTGATCCTAAGCTAACGTAGGAGCTTCATATCAATAAGCTATGCTCAAAGCTGAGTAGCACCTGCTTTATTTTGAGAAGTCTTAGGGATAAAGTATCCATTAACATCTTGTGAATATTATATTTTGGAATGGTACAATCTCAGTTATAGTATGGCTTGTTGGTGTAGGGTTCCTCCTCACATATAGATAGATCATTCATCATGCAGAAGAAAATTGTAAGATGTATGGATAGAGCTCCTCCATTAGCAAGCTGCCGAAATCTACTTAAGAAATATGATATTCTACAAGTGCACTCTTTATATATTTTACAATTATAAATAATGTATATCTATGTTAATAAGAACCAGTTCACCTTAAACAATGAAATTCACTCATATAATACCCGCCAAAATGATGACATTCTTGCACCCTTCTCAAGACTGAGAGTAAGTCAGAATTCTCCCAATTATGTAGGGGTTAAATGTTTCAATAAAATGAAAACGCTTATTGACTTAATCAGCCCAAGGAACAGCATAAATAATAAAATTATCAACTTCCTCTAGAATAACACATTTTACAATATTTTTTTTTTTTTTTTTTTTTTTTTTTTTTTTTTTTTTTTTTTTTTAACTAAGTTAGTGGCTCTGGATATAAACCAACAGGCCAGTCAATTGTCAGGTGAACAAATAAAAATATATAACAAACTTTATTATTTTACAAATTATAGTTGCTCTACCTTAATAACTAAAAATAACCTGAACTTAATAAGGTTTAAATGTTTTGTTTATTTATGTTTTTTTTTTATTTTTGTTTTTTTTTATTTTTGTTTTTTTTATTTTTGTTTTTTTTATTTTTGTTTTTTTTTTATTTCTGTTTTTTTTTATTTTTTATTTATTTTTTTTCTTTTTTCTCTTGTCTTTTTTTTCTTTTCTTAACAATTTTTTCGAGTCAGGTGTACAAATTTTTTTTTATTGATGAGTTTATCAATTCTTGAACTACACAATGAAGGTATCATAATCTGTTAACTAGGTCAATTTCTAAATTTTAAATTGTATGTTTCTTTTAATAATATAAGTAGTCTTATGTATATAATTAAGTGTTTACTATATTTTAAGATAATTGTTTTTAAAAAATTTCAATATTGTTAAAACTTGACTAACCTGATGGCTTTCACTATGTGAATGTCCTCTTATGGTGAATTAACTGATTTGATTTGGTATGGTTGATGTAGTAGATAATGTTGAAATAATTATAAGAAATAAAAACACCTTATATATCAAAGAACAAATTATTATAAAACATATTTAAAATTTTCAAACGTTTTCGTCTGCAAAAAAAACAGTTTGGCGAATATAAGAAAGAATAGGTAAATATTTCATTGAAATGCATTTTGAAAGTTACCCCTTTTTTATAATTCCTTGATTCTATTAAATCAGTTACTTTTAACAATGCCTACTTCGGCTTGTGGTAGAAATTTCTGTTATCTTCTGAATATTTTATACAATGTGCCTTAGTAAATTTAATACATGTAACTGTTAAATGAACTAGAAATTGATGAAGAACAAAATAAGGTTTTTGATTTTTTTGGCGTTACTCTGTAGCTATGTATATTTTTTATGTATTACAACAGTATTTATCTTTGATCGTGGCCGTATTAAACTATTAAATTAAAAGCACAACTGTTAATATCAAAAGTCAAAATAAAAGGTTATGTTATAATAATATTCTCCTTTTCACTAATATGTCCTACACTTTCAATAGCAATTTGGCTAATTTCATATAAATTACAACGTTGCCACTAGTTATCGAGTTGAAATAGATTTTAGATAAAATGTTGCCTAGTAATAATGCTGCAATACAAATAGGTTTTAATTCGTTTCTACATTTAGGTCAGGCCTGCCTAAAATTAATTCTACAAATGATTGGTACAACCGGGCGTAAACCATATAACAAAATTACTTACCCTCAAAATTTCGGGCGAAATATAATCGGGCGTACCGACGGCGACATTGGATTGCACGGTACCGTCCTCGTTCAATTTCAAACAACTACCAAAATCCGCCAACCTGATGTGCCCGTTCGCGTCCAACAGAACATTGTCAGGCTTGATGTCTCTGTGCACGTACCGAAGATTATGTATCGAATCGATGGCCAGCACCATTTCGGCTATGTAAAATCGGGCCATCTCTTCCGGAAGACGATCTTCGAACTTGCTCAGCAGCGTCAACAAATCCCCGCCGCAGTAGTAGTCCATCACTAGGTAAAGGTTGGATTCGTCCTTAAAAAAAAAGTCATCCTATCATTCTATTGCAGAATTAATACTAAAATGTAGTGATGGGTCCCTCGGAAATGTTTACAGAAAAGTAACATTTCCTTACAAACTTTTCAAAAGTGGAAAAGTATTGTGCATTAAATAATTTGCCTGAATTTCTTACAAACAATGCCATCATGGTTTAAACAAGAAGAAACAACACAACAAAATGATGGTTATTACCGTTTTCTGATTAGTATTTCGAGATATATATTATTCCCAACAATTTATAAAAATCATATACTTTCATTAATTGTCACCACCTTCCTATTTGGTAGTTGCAAAACTGGTTACACAACATCTAATAAACGTTTATAAAAAGTAAAATTATTAATTAAAAAAAAATATGTGTGAAACATCATCATAATAGGTAAATATTAGAAATTGCAACAATTTTCTAAAATATAAAAATAATTCAGTAATTCTGTCATAAACAACAGACAAGAATTTTATTTTCTTTAGTCATAATTCAATTCTAAATACAAGTAATATGTCAATGGCAAATATTTTGAAAAAAAAAAAAAATAACTACAAATAAAATAATAATTGGAATAGTATTTCATAATCGTTAAATAAGGCAATTAGCCTATATGTGACAATGGTAATAGTATTATTACATTAGTGAGGACATAATTTGTGTTCCACTGACAATTATTACAGTGACAGTAGATTTTTTTTTTGTTTCTTAAATAAGCACGGTATGCTTAAGGGCGTGGGCAAATGCCTTTATATTACATTTTTGTCTTTGTTTTTGAGAAAGAGTAACGCTTCTCGCGTATAAACAGCAACGGTGCTGACACAAAGAGCAAAGTGAAAAATGTATTATGTCCGAAACGACGGCACTGAATAGTGAGTGAATGTGTGTGAGAATGACTGAAAATTCTACCGCTAATTTGGCGTCATTTCGCCTTTTATACGTATCCCTTTCAGAAGTCATAAGAACAATCCCGAAGCTTGGCCATGTTATTATATGTGTATTGTGTATGTAATAGTATTAGAATAAAACAGTTTGTAGCTCGGAACTTTTAAATTAATTTAAGGTAGGGTTGGCCTGATGTATCAGTGAAATATGTTGGATATATTTCCAACAAAATGTTTGCATGACTCTTAACTAAGAACATTGCCCTTGCAATTCATTTTTTATTCAGTAGTTCTACCCCATTCCCAATTTGCCATGAATTAGACTATTTTGAGATTTTTTTATAGAAAACCTGGGGTGAATAGAATGTTTGAACTATCGAACTGAGACATATTATTTAGTGATTTTTTTTGAGCATCTTCAAATAGAGGTCGAACTTTTTCTTCCATTATCAGTATTCCTTTGTAGTTGAATTATTTTTTAATAAAACTATATTTTTGGTTTGGTCCTTAAAATGTTTACTTTTTTAGAAAGACAGAGAATGGAAGACTTTTTGATGTTTGTGTTAGACGCGAATAGACATATTATGACCTTGCCAGCTTCAGGTATTTCTGGTATACTGCGACAGTACAGTGTTGCCGGCGACTGGGTGGAAATTTAAGGTGGATACTGGAAACAACTTTTTTTTGTAAATTTTTTAAATTCACCTTTACCCTTATTGGCTCCCAAAATTTTGCGAAGTAATCTGGTTTTTTCTTTTCTACATATTATATTTCACTATTTACTAGTAATTTAGTGATTGCCACAAATTCAAAATAATGAATATTTTCCGGTGACAGGGATTTTTATTTAATTTAATAAATTAAAAATTAATTCTAATGCATAGGTAGGATTCCCCACTAAATCATTTACTGTTGGGTTCTAATTGTTCCTAAAGTGACGCTGGGAAACAGTTACAGCGCCTACACATAACACGAGGCTAATAACCATAGCAGTTGATGCCAATGATACAAAAAAATTGCCAGAGTAGTCTTTTGCCACATGTCATACTGCTAAAAAAAATTACCTTGAAATTTATTTTCAATTCCAGTTACATCGAAAATATTTTTGCTAGTGTGGGTGGAAAAAACGGGTACCTAGTTTTGAGGCTGGAAAAATATCAATAATAATGAAAAAGTTTTCTATACTACACAAACTGGCCGGACACTGTATATACAGGATGCCTCATTAAAAATGGGACACAGAACTAAAGATTCTCCGATTAGGTGATTAAACGAAACATGCATAAATAAAATTACGGTTTCCGAAATACAGGATGTTAAAGTTGAAAATTCAAAAATTATTAAATGCTCTAAATTGTTTATTTCTCATTATAATTTTACTAAATTCGGTAAACATTATTGTTGTCATAAGATCAGGAGGGCTTACTCTGTAAGGCCGCATGCACCTTCTCAAAAATCCCAGAGGTACCATACTAATTAAAAATATTGTTTATTTTATAATTTTTCCTATCGTAAAATCCTTCCTATAATAACAATTTATGATCTCTTTGACTGGACTATCGTCGTCCGCAGCAAGTTAAAGAGCCTCGTCACTATGGAAACGAAGTGGGACTAGTGAGACACACGCTATCGCGCTAACGAGTACGTCTTGTAGTCGACCCTTTTAGTGCAGAGTAGGGGGCAATTTTTTAGCGGCCCGCCAACATTTAGAATTAGATGATGATGATGGGTCAGAGGCGCCTGTTTTATTTTTTTAAAGTTGTTTTATAATTTTCACTGAACCAGTAATATTTTATTTAGGCATTTTCGTTTAATCTTATTTTTAATCAGAGAATCTTCAGTTGTTCTGTGTCCCATTCTTAATGAAATACCCTGTATAAAAACTTGAAACCGCCAAATATCTGAAGAATTACGTCACCACGCTGTTGCCAAATGTTATATTTTCATTAATTTTATACTAATTTCATTATTTTTAATAGTATAGTAATAAAACGATGTATCTGTACTGTGGCTAAATTTTATAATTTTTCATTAATTTAATTAATTTTATTATTTTTAATGAAACACCCTATTAATAAAAACGACGTCTCTGCATTGTTGCCAAATTTTATAGTTTTCCATTAATTTCACTATTTTTAATGAAACACCCTGTACATTAATAAAAACGACGTCTCCGCATTGTTGCCAAATTATATAGTTTTTCATTAATTTAATTATTATTCTATTACATTCAATATAATATTAATAGAACAAAGCCACCTCCTGTATATTAATAAAACATCTCCGCCCAGTTGTCAATTTTTATAGTTCTTCATTAATTTCATTATTTTTAAATAAACACGCTCCATATTAATAAAAACGACGTTTCCGCGTCGTTGCCAAATTTTATAGTTTTTTATTAATTTCATTACTTTTTACGAAACACTCTGTTTTGCAAAATTTTAGTTTTTTTTTCTTTTCATTTTACTAATTTCATTATTTTTAAAGAAACAACCTCTATATTAATAAAACGACGTCTCTGCACAGTTGTCAGATTTGATAGTTTTTTTATTAATTTCACTAATTTCATTATTTTATATTAATAAAACGACGTCTCCACGTTGTTGCCAACCTTTATATTGTTTCATTATTTTTAATGAAACTCTCCATATATTAATTTCAAATATCTAGGTTTTATGTACTATGCCATATGTTCAACATTTTCAAGTTTTTGCATTATTTTTCACAACTAAATGGAATTTACTGAAAAACTATAGAATTTGGCACCAGTGAGGATGAGTAGCAAGTTCAACATTTTGTTATTCTTAATGTAGGTAGCGAATTTTGTTTTAATCCTATAAACAGTTCTTCGAGATAATTGACTTTTGTTTCACCCTGTATTTAAAAGTTATATAAAATATTTAAAATTACAGATGTATATTAAGAAATATTATATCTTTAAAGTCATTTGAGAGTCACTCGGGCAGTATTCTTGGTCCTTTATAATTTCTTAAGTACCTAAATTTCCTATCAAAAATTTTCCTACCTGAAACGCATAGTGAAGATGCGTTATCCATCTTCTATCACCATAAACCAGCACATCACGTTCCTCCTTAAAGCAGGCCGTTTCGGCCCTCTTGAGCATCTCCCACTTGTTGAGAATCTTCATGGCAAACACCTTTTCGGTGCCCTTAAATTTAACAACACACACCTCGCCAAAAGCACCTCTACCTATCACTTTGATTATCTCGAAATCATCTCGCGTCAATCTCATCGTTTTCACTGAAGTGGCTACAGGTTTAACTAAAAAAAAAAAATATTAAATATAAAACAAAAATGTGTTACTACTGTTACTTACCAAATTCTATAAAATCTGAAACGGTTTTTTCCTTCCTTAAACTAGAATTGCAACATTCATCATATAGAACAAGCAGTATATCTATGAGAGTTTCAATACTAAAGCTCTGCTCCTTCGCCAGCACGGGACCTCCTAGGAATAGCATCTCTAATTGCCGTAAACGGCTTTCCCCTGTCGCCCCCTGCATGGCTCCCACACTCATTTCACTCATTCAACACTCTCATTTAGCACCTAAAAGGAATTATTACTATAACAACCATTTACAATGTTAAATGCATGTGTAATAAGTTGAATTTTTATTATGAATCACCCTATATTATTAAAAATAACTAATCTTTAGTTGTTGATTAAAAAACGAACTTCACAGTACCTTAAAAATGGTTAAATAATATAAAAAAACAAATGTTCTTTCTTCAATATATTAAGGAAATTTGATAAGTGAATCACTATGAAATGCAATGCTTTATGCAAAACTCACGTAATAAAGATAACATAGCAAAATACACACAATAATAATAACAACAATTCACAATTACAACATTATCAGGAGGGTAAATAATATAACAAACAACAAATTCTGCAAGAAGTTTAATGGTATGGATATTTTAAATAAAACAATGAAAAACCCAACAATTATTTGTTGATTGTAAATGAAAATAGTCAACAAAGAAAAATGCTTTATTCAATAAACAAAATTCTATTGTGAAATAATGGAATACCTAATATATGATAGTTAAAAAAATTAATAGATAGGTAAGGTATACAATTTTTCACATAAAAATGTAATTTGATTACAAAAATAGATACTGAGACCACAAAATAAAAATTCAAAATGATAACAATGGTTTTTTGATTGTGGTTTATGGCAAATTGAAATCTGAAGATACTCAGATCACAAAATAAAAATTTAAATTGATAACAACGGTTTTTTAATTGATAATATAAAATTTGAATTCAAAAGAATATTACCTTACTTGTATGAACTAGGTATAACTCGAAAAAATTATTTAAATAGTTATTATCTTTCATAAAAATATCTCTAATCTAATGTGTTTGAAAAGAAATGATATATAAGTATGAGATGACTAGTAACATTAATAAATATTGAAAAAACTACTTAAAACTTACACAGCCTCCAGCAAATCTGAGTCATCAATGTTTATATTTTTAATAACTGAGGTAACAGGTTCTGTGCTAAAATGAGATACCGACAATGATCAATTTTCATTTGGTGCTCTTGTAGAAAATTAAAAATTACCTATCCACTATATATGCAATGTGAGGTATTTTATTGTGAGTATTTTTAAATCCACAATTATGCTATTTATGGATAAAACCTTAACTGATGCGTAGATTTTAGTAAGAATATTTATAGTTTTGCAGAATGTAGAGTCAACAACAAATAAAAATAATAACAAGGTTGGGTCTTTTTACACTAAAAATGACATGTCAATCAAAACACAAATGTCACAGGTCAGTTAGGTTAAAATTTAATAAAAAACCAACTTTATTTCCATAAAATTACCCTTTAAACAAATCGAATAAATCCCTTTACTGTTATGTAAAAGCATTGAGGATATTCCTAAATAAAAATGGTTAAAAAAACAAAAATAAGGCGAGATTAACCTATATATAAACACTCCTTTTACGACGGCATGCTCCGTATAAAAGTACACATTTTTCACTTATTAAAATTTGTAAACAAAAACTGTTATCATTATCACCTTTCTCTTGATTTTAATGGTGCTTCTTATCACTTGACTAATTAAAACCATTTCATCACATCACACACTAACGGCAGCCATTTTTGTCTATGACTCCCCCACGGAGAATGTGTGAATGTGAAATGAATTGAAATTAAAACCTAGAAATTCTTTCACTTTCTTTCGAAAATATAAAAAGAAGTTTTATTTCCAATTTATTAATTCAATACATCTAAACAAAAAAAATCCATTTTTGTACCTTTCTAAAACTACAACCATTTGTTTTTCAGGATTCAAATTTAAAAATATTATTGAAAACATATCTGGACAAAGTGCATTTTTAATAAATACCATTTTAAACATTATTTAATTTTGATTTAATTCAGATTTTTTTTATTGAAAATATTCTTAAAAAATATTTTAAAATTGTATTATTACAAATATTTCTGTCTCTATATTTCATGTAAATAAGAAAGAGATTACAATTATAATAAACAATCATTCTGATAACTCAGATTAATTTGTAGTACAACATAAATCATTACTACTGATTTAGTTCAAAAATATCTTAATTTTTTTTGTATATTTTGGCCGAAATTTGTAATTTTATTTTAAATAATAACCATATTTAATCAGTTTTCAGTTTCTACCTGTGGTTTCTACCGAAAACTATATGAAATGGCCTATACGTCAAATGTCATTCAAGAAGACGTTCAGAATTTTATATACAAATAAATATAGGGTGTCCTAAAAATATACCGACAAACCATTAAGGAGTGATAGGGGCATAGATTGATATGGGACATCAAAACAGACTTTTGTTATTTAATAAACAAAAATGTCTGCAAATTAGCCATTTGGACAGAATAATAAAAATGGTTTTTGCAGTTTTATTTATTTCAGTGATAAATCATTAATATTATTTTGTAAATGTTCAGTAGAATTAAATTAAATTACAATAATTATTGTTCAAAATGTTGACCATTCGCTTCAATACAAAAATTGAACCGTCGATTCACTGTCTCGCGGATCCTATATGTATTAATCCTTGAATAGCTTCTACACATGTGTTAAACAAGGCATTATTTCTTACTATATACCTTCATCGTCATTATGATATGTGTTTCGTAGACTAAAGATTTTAGATAAACCCAAAGAAAAAAATCTAGTGGGTTGAGTTCTGGAGAACGCGTGGCCCGCTTGATGTCTTGTGGCCTGGCCCAGGCCTCTGGACCTCCTCTTCCAATCAATAAGTGAGGAAATCGCTGGTCCAAATACAGGCGCTTGCACGTTCAACCAAAATGTGGATGTGTTCCGTCATGTTGAAACCACATGTTATTTCTAATACCTAAATAAGGGACATTCTCTTAATAATAGAGGCAAAACATGCATTTTGCAGAAAATAGAGATAAATGCCATGCCGGAGGAGTATGGTGTATATAGTTGAATACCTAAATAATAGACAGTAAATTATAATGAGTGGTGAAGAATGCTGTCATATATCATTGCGCCAAAGTTTGGAGGACTGTTTGAAGGTTACAGGACGGAGTTTTTTCAGTAGTAGCATCTATTGCAATTTCATATATATTGCACCTCTGTCAGCATTCTTCACACATTGTTTGGCATTAAATTAGTCTATATATCGGTATTCAAATATAATTACGCAAACTTGATAAAAGGCACATCCTATCCGGATATATTGAAAACAGTAAAGGAAGATAAGTAAATATATAGAACAGCTAGGAGTTAAGGTAAGAAAGATTCAGAAAACACAGCAAGGTTATCTATTTGCTTATGGTGAAAGAAGGAGCCCTCAAGCTAAAGGACGAAATAGTAGCCAAGTCAAGGGAGCAGACATTCGGAAACACCACCTTATCTATTGCGGAAATAGACCTTGTGACCACCAAAGAGGATAAAGTGCTAGCTATTAAGGAGGAGACTGGTATGAAGGAGGCACACATACAGATAAAGTCTCTAAAAGAAAGTAGGATAGGTACTCAGCAATAATGCAACTCCTTATTAGAGACACAGCAAAAGAAGCCTCATAAAAACGGGAAGATTTAAAATAGGATGGATAAATTGTTCTATTTACGAAAAAGTATCAGTTGTGCGATGTCATAAGTGTCTTCAGTTTGGACTAGTCTTCATAGTTTGGAAACAGACAACAAAATTGTCAAGGAATCAGTAGGACATAAAAGAGTGCCTTAAATGTGAAAAAAAAAAAGATTGCACAAATGAATCATTCTCAATATTTTTATTCACCGGGACCTATAATATATTATCCACCCGGTCGACTGGGACACAAGTTTCAAGCCGGTGACATGTCCCAGTGTACCGGCAACCGGCAACCCTACTATCACCTCTTAGTTTGTTGCTGTTTTTGGGACACCCTGTATTAAAAAAACGATTAATCATTTTAGAAACAATGAAAATGCTATTTAACTTGATTTTAAAAACAAATATGATTATTGATTATAATTTAAAATTACAAAATTACAGTTAAATATATGTTTTAAATCTAATTTTCTCAGTTGAATTTCGGAACGCACCCTTTAAAATGTCAAATACAACAATTACAATTACAAATGTCAAAAATACCATAAATAAGATGACGCATGTTTTTATAGATTCAATTACAAAAATAAACTAATTATATTTCTGTAAAACACAAACAAAGAACTTCAGTAATATTGTTATCAACCTTTAGTGAGTCATACAAGTACATTAACCAGTGTTTCTGAATAAATTCATGAATATCTCAGTCCTCCCAATATCACATCCAAAATGTTGTTTGACAATTTAGGAAAGTGTGTACCAAAAAAACCTAATTTAACTTACGACGAGGCCTGTGTCGATATTATAAACAATTTAAATGAAACTATTAAGTTGATTTATCAATATGATGAATGTTACAAGTGCGATTTCCAAAATCTAACTATATTAGAACCAGGAAAGAATACTTCTGTGGTAGCAAAGACCAGCTCGCCTATTCAGATTGAATATATCTTTAGTAGCAATACAAAGTGCCAGTAAGTATCTACAAAATTATTTTAATACCTATTAATTGTCTGTAATTTCTGTTTCAGTTACCAGCAACTTCTATATGAACATTACAGATATGGGTTGAATATTACTGAGAAATGTTCACCAATTTATATTAAGGAACCAGCCGATAATGCGTATTTACGTAAGTTTGCAATCTTTACTATTTAATTATGGTTTCATATTTTACTGTTTTTAGCAATATTAATGGCATTTGTAATTCTATTTTCTTTTGGAACTATATGGTATATGATTAAGTGTATTTACAAGAATAGTGGAAGATTAAGACAACTGTTAACATGGAGTACAGAAATGGAGGAGGTATTTTATTTATATTTTTTTGTTTGGAGGTTTTCAAAGTGTTAACCTTTTGTAGGATCTAATTGGCTCTTCAGCAGGAACACCTCTCGTTTTTGAAAGACCCCCTACTGCCATTGCCAAACATTCTAATCGTTTGAAATCTGTTGACACTTTTAGAGGTCTTTGCATTGCTGTTATGATTTTTGTTAATTATGGGGGTGGTCAGTACTGGTTTTTCAAACACTCTGTGTGGAATGGTTTGACAATTGCTGATCTGGTATTCCCCTGGTAAGTCTGAAATGTATATTTTATCATATATAAGATTTTATTATTTTGATTATATTGATAAGATTGGAGTGTAAAAATTTGATATAAATATTAAAATTTGAATTCAAATATACCTATGAACATGGAAAATCATCAGACATCTGAACCTTTCAGATTTTCATGAAATTTTGTGCCTTGATGGATTTCATGGCTATAGCTGAATTTGTAAATAATAGATTGTAATGGACTATCAGGAATGTGTCAAGCATATTGACTATTGTCATGTTGAAAATATTTGAAAGAAGAATTCGTTTCCTCATACAAATTGTGTTACAATATCTCAGAGGAAAACTGCTATGTTTTATAAAAGTTACACTTTTAAACTCAGCTCTTCGAGAATTTCCAGGGTTATAATACACTATATATTAGTGACATCACAAAAAAAATTAACACTGTTCAATTAACTTATGAGGTAAACAACACCATGTACACATAGTGTTTTTAACTCTCATGTTGTATTATTCATAGAAGCATCTAACGAAATAATATGTTAACTTAGTGTAGTTTTTTCCTAACTGTCAACTCAAAATCTATTAGACCTAGTTTCTTTCCATCATGGTTATTTTTTATAACATACATATATGTATAAATATTAATGCGCTTGAGTGTTTAATTCATTTGCTTCTGTTAAAACTCAAAGATCAGTGGGAAAATTTGCAAAGACAAAGTTAAAATTCATACCAATAGAAAGAGTGATTAAAGTAAACTGCATTTGTAATTTGCATAATTGCAGTAAACTAGTTTTTATTTAGTTTAATCCAAGTAAAAACAAAAATAGTGAAAAAGTTGCCTAATAGCATTGCTGATAATTAAATATTATTCTGTTATAGTGTTATAAAAAAAACAATTACAGCATTAAGTGTAACTACTCATACAGCACAAACACATTTCGGAAATATTTCAACAATGTTACATTGAAACATTTGCAATGTTGTATAAATATTACGAAAAATCCCAGAAACATTTCTGAAATATGCCTGAAATGTAAAATTTCCTGTAAATATATTTCACATTAATATTTCTGAAATGAAAATTTGAAATCTTTTAGAAATATTAAATAGTAATATTTCAGAAATGTATTCTAGTTTTTTTTTCTAATATATTATTAGACTAAAAATACACATGTTTATTTAAAATACACAAAACTCCAACATTGATTCTTAAACAAACAAATAAATATGTTTTAAAGAATATTTCATAAAAATATAGAAGCTAATTGCTTCATTTGCACCAATTCCTTTAAATGCACTAATTTTAAAACAACTTGGTTTTTTTTTTAATAAATGCTCCAAGAAACATTTACGATTATTTTAATCTAATCATTAAGATCAATCAGCAATTTTATTCTTACCTAACTTATCTAGGGATGTAAAACTTCATAAACTAAGATTCTACTTACTATGTAGTGTACTTTGACTCTAATTATTTAGTTACACTACCGTTAACGTATAACACTTAACTGCAATACTGTTTTAATCTAACATCACTGAACTAACTCAAAAGTCCTGGTTCTCTTGAGTCTTCTTATTAGATTGGCATTGAGGAGCTAGATAATCTCAAGGTTTCCATGTTGGAGCAGTCATTGTTGGTGACTACTGGCAAATTTTTGTATTGTATTTTCAACAGTCTCCACTTTAAGGTCCTTATAAGGATCCGAGGGGTCTTTCACTCTTGGCAATACATGTACGTTTTATGCGGTATTACTTGGCATTACGACGGAATTACGTGGTATTACTTGGCATTACGGTGGAATTACTCGGTATTACTTGGTATTACTTGGCATTACGACGGCATTACTGGTATTACCAAGGTATTACATGGAATTACGTTGGCATTACTTTGAACGCATGCGCTTGAACCTCGATTGTTTACGTTCATAGCCTAACTTAAATCATTTAATGTTGGTCTTTCGTACAGTGCAGTTGTTAGAAAGTGGTTTTTGCAAAAATTTATGTTTCAGGTAAGTAAATACATTTTAATTTGAGATTGATTGGTCAATTGAGATTTTAACTTGCTATTATAAAAAGCTAGAATTTTGCTTTTTAAATAAAAAATTTCAACACGTTTCATGAAATCGGGTAGAGTGGATGAGGTAGAGTTGGGTAAAGTGGGAGGTAAAGGTAGATTGGGGTCTAGTGAGGTAGAGGGGGATAAAGTGGGGCGGAGGCAGACTGAGAGTAAAGTGGGGTAGAGTGGGATAAAGTGGGGCGGAGGCAGACTGGGAGTAAAGTGGGGTAGAGTGGGATAAAGTGGGGCGGAGGCAGACTGGGAGTAAAGTGTGGTAGAGTGGGATAAACTGCGGTAGAGTGGGATAAAGTGGGGTAGAGTGGGATAAAGTGGGATAGTGGGGTAGAGTGGGGCAGATGCAAATTGGGAGTAAAGTGGGGGGTAGGGTGGAGTGGTGGGGTGGAGTGGTGGGGGGTAGGGTGGAGTGGAGAGAGAAAAGAGACAATCTATATAACTAAACTGATTTTCAATGAACAAACTCTCCAATCACTTTATGGTAGGTACTTGTGAGCGAAAATGGCCGCGAGCAATACCGCTTTAAGCAATCTGTATACATATGTATATAATTTTCAATTGCCAAGTGTCAACTGTCATTGTAATTTATAATTTGGGAAATAAGTGAATATAATTCCTGATTCCCCTACGAAACAAAGAAAAATGCCCAAATTAAAACAAACTCAAGGAAAAATCGAAAAAGCTGGAAGCTTCAATTTATCCTCGAGTTTGTTTTCATTTGGGGGTGGATGTGGGTATTTTTCTTTGTTTCGTAGGGGGAATTGGGAATTATAATCACTTATTTCCCAAATTATAAATTGTAGTTTTCGGATCTAAACCGATTTGTTTTTCGTTCATTTATGTCGTAATGCATAGTTAATTTTTCTATCTCTTTTTTCCCTCTCTCACACACACACATCTGTAATATCTCTTATTGTCTAGTTTTTAAGAAGTTTTACTTCTCTCACGTGTACGGTAAGGCACGCGATTTTTTTTTTATAATTTGTTTCTGTAATATACCTATATATTAGATATTATGACTTCCACTACCAAATTTAATAAGATTTTTAAAAGTTACAAATTTTCAATAATCTGAAAGAAAATAAATGTCAAACATTCAAGATTAGAAATCACGTATTTAACAAGTAAGGCGCTAAGGTAGTCACTAGTGACTAATAGTGAATTAACTCACCAGATCATGGTGGACATAGGGTTATATATTCATGGGTCTAAGTGGAATATTTTCACACCATACTAGTGTCCCCCTCGATATTCAATTTAACATTTGACCGAATCTATATACCTAACCAGTTCTGAAATGCTCACTAGGTCCATTACTAGGTCCATTTTAAGTGGAATATCTTGTATTCAGTTTTCTTTATAAGGACCACAGCACTATATTTAATAAGTAAGCGTAGGGTGGGGTGGGCATTTCTAATCGGGGTCTAGGACGCATCATAGCAGAAAATACGAGTTTTTTGAGATAATATTAGGATTGTTTTTGAGATTATATTTTATTCTTATTTAAGGTTATACAACAATTTTTTAATTAATTTCATTAATTACCATGGAAAATACTATTTCTACATTATTTATTGAAAATTTAAATTTTCATCACTTGCGCGTATAACTATTTCGAGAACTATTTATTTAGAAAATTTGTTCTAGCATGGCTAATGATAACATTAAGTCACTTATTTCGAAAATAAGACTTCAACCGGAACTCAAAGAATTTTCTATTCCAAAATATCTCATAGATCTACTAAGTTTTAATGGGTATGACAATATATATTCATTGGCAGCATTAAAACAACCCGACGTAGATAAATTAGAAAAGTTTGCATGTACGGAACTTTCTGATTTATTAGAAGAGAATAAAAAAAAAAAATGTTTTTGGAATTTATTTTAAAACGCCTTCAAAATTTAAAAGTTTGGATGGACACATAAAACTTCTTCAAATGTTTTCCATAGAATGTCAAAAACTGATATGCTCTGGCATGAGAGTTGACAAAAACACCCAAACAGAAGAAACAAAATCAAACACCATTAGAATTAAGTCAAAGGAAAAGAAAATTTGTAGATGATAATCTTGAAAAAAATTCGGAGGAACAAAAGAAAAAAAGTAAAACTGTAGAGAATGAGGATGCAATTAAAGAGCATATTATTAACAATATTAAAAATTACGTACATAAATTTTTAGCTAGCAAAATTTTTAGGAAATGTTATTACCTAAAGTTTTTAATAAAGTTAACATTAAACTAAATCTAAAAAGGTAGCTCGACAGTTACCTAGCAGTACTTATCTTGACATTACCACGCATTACTTGGAATCATCTAATATTATTTGGTATTATCTAGTATTACTTTGGAATTACCAGGTATTACTTCGGAATTTGTGGTATTACTTTGGTATTACCTGGTATTACTTTGGCATTACCTGGTATTACTTGGTATTACTTTGGTATTACCTGGTATTACAGAGAATTACTCGGAATTATTGAAGTAATTCCACAATTTGGCAATACATGTACGTTTTCTTGCAGAGTGAAAGACCCCTCGTAAGGATCAGTATTACAGCTGTACCAGGATGCATCGACGATATTCCTTAATACTTTATTCTGGAAACGTTAAATAACTTGTATGATTCTTTTACTGGCACAGCTCCAAAGATGGCAGATTAATTCATTTCCACCAATCCCTTTAAATGAAACAAACAAAATATAGGTAATTAAAAAGGATTTATACAAATTATTTGATTAACAATAGTTTTATTAATATTGTTTTAAATTAACTATAATAAAACAATACTCATGTCTAAACAAATCATGAAGATCCACCTAAACAAGTGTAGTTACTACTTCTTTTAGGATACGTTCGTATTTTTCATAATAAAACTCAAAATAATTAAAAATGGTTTTTAATCGCCATGCACCTGACTCTTGCACATAAAAACCCAAAAGT